ACAGGGGGGCCAGCGGGGGGAATTGCCCGAGAGGGCGAAGGCGCGCGCCGCGGCGCCCGGAGAATCAGACGCGCGCATCGGAGCCGCGGTCGTCGCCGGAGCCAGGATCGCACTGCGCCGCCAATGTGGTTTCTGCTCAGGGCAGGTACTCGGCCAAAGCGGTCGTCTGCCTGCTGATCTCGTCGACGGAGCTCATCGCGATGCAGCGCGCGAATGGGCCGGGGTGCAGCTCGTCGAGCGGCAGCTCAAAGCGCGGGCGGCGGCTCGCGAGGCTTTTATGGATATGCAGATCGACAGCGCTCTCAGGAAGGCGCTACTCGGGCGAAATCGAGACCGGCCGCGCCCTGTTCGGCAAGGGGCCCCCGCGTCTACTGCCGCGGCTCAAGAAAGGCCCGCCGAGAAAGGTACCGTGCTGGGTTTGGTTATGATCATTGGCAAGCAGTGCCAGAATTACTGCATATCGCATGGTGGCATTACCAAGCCTGTAGCTCCTGAGTTCATATGGCCAGCCACGACTGAAGAAGCTCGGTGGTTCGGCATCTACGATCAGCGCGGGGAAGCCGCCGATCGACTGCAGCGCCCGCGCAAATGCCGACGCCAGCGCCGACCTAGAGCGGAGGGGTTTACGTGGAGAAGAGCCGCCGCCTAACGATGAAGTTGTGGAGACGGGCGCCGGCCCGCCTCAATCTGAGTCAACAGCTGAAGCTCTGCCGCCAGAGGTTATGAATGTTGACCCCCCCTGCCGAGGCCGGGCTCGGTTTTCAACCGTTGACGGCGCCGGCATCATCTCCCATTGCCAAGACCACCTGGTCATGATCAGTCTCGACCAGAGCGGAACTAGGCCGGCTGGGATCGCCGGGAACTCCAACGTCGCCGGGCTGCGCGCAGCCCTCTGGGGGGGCGCACTACATTGCATCCGAGGGGGTCCACGACAGGCGGGAGCAGCGCGATAGCTCGCGCGACAAGCAGCGCGACAAGTGGGTCGACCCCACTGATTCACCACTGACAACGAGGGGATTAAAGTTTCCGCGACGCACTTGAGATTCGCGACCACGCCGAATGGAGATCGAGCGCAGGGCGAAAGGCCCATGCAGAAGCTACTAGACAAGGAGGTGGCCTGGCAGGACATCCCGAACGATCCGAAGCCTTTCAAATAAAGCCGTTGCGGGGCAGTGGGGGAAGCGGGAGAAATCTTTTTTTTTCGGCGGCGCCGTTCTCGCGAGACATTGTGGGCAAGCTCGACATTACCACGACAAGAACGGGGCCTTGCCATCAAGGCTCGTGGTTCGCGGCAAGGGCGCCAGCGCATGCGCGCAGATATCCTGATCTACAGACTGGGGCGCCGCGCGCGGATGCACCTACCGCTGCGCTCACTGATTGGATGCACCTACTACCGTTGTTCATCATGTCCGCCCGGCATGAATGGGGGCCAGCGCGCGCGGACATCATGCCAGCTTCCTTGCAGGACGAGGAGCAGGGATGGGCCTTTATTAATCGCTTCGCTCATCCCGCCGGCCCTGGAGCCCTCTTTGGGCCTCTTAGGGGCCTCTTGGGGACCTCTTGGGAGTCTCCTGGGGCTCCTTGGCGGCGTCTTGGGGGCCCCCGGGGCCTCTTGGGGCGTTTTTGGGGGCTTCTTGGGGCGGGGGGGGGGGGGGGGCAGTCGAATGCGGCCCCCCCTTCGGAGGCCGCGATCCTTGCGAGGGGCGTTGAAAAAAAGGCCCTCCCTTGGAGTGCCCTGGCTTCTCCCGGGACATTGCCGGGGCACTTTTCGTCCGGGGGCCCCCAGGGGCCGCTCCGCGCGCGCGAACTAGAAATATTGTTAACCAGTTACCGGAGATCTTAGCACGCCGCTGGCCCGTTGGGCCGGCGAATTCATGGGGCAGCCGCTGCGTGCGTTGCTTGGACTTCTACTTGGGTAAGTGCTTCGCATCGTCAAGGGCATCTTCGGTTTCGCTACTGCTCCCCGACTGTGAGCCGTTCGCAAGACAGCACTACTCACTACTCATGGTCAAACTCATGGGAACGGATATCGACGTGTCAATATCGAGTTGAATCCGGTGGGTCCATCCTTTTTGGTGGGACATGGACCCATCGGAAAGGTGCAAGCCTGTGTGTGCGTTCATCTGGATGATCTTTTGATTGCAGCCAGTGCCTCCACCAGCTGCGGGATCATCGAGGAATCGTTTCTATTCGGCGTTTGGCAAGGTCTGCGATTCACATTTGAGCCAAGGATGTGGTGGGCAGACCAGATGGGGCCACGCGTGCGTTGCAGAGAGCGCTTGCCGAAAGTTGGATCCGCTGGAGCTGAGCAAGGGACGCAAAGGGTATTTGATATGCACAGTTACCGGATTCGAGACCGCCGAGAAAGGGGCCTGATCGGAAGTTCAGGCAGTCTTGCCACTCAGACACGTCGCGATCTAGCAGCTGGAGCTTCAATGGCTGAGCGAGTGCAGACTTCTCCGGCGGTAGCCGACCCCATCGAGGCGAACCGCATCGGGTCCGAGGCTACGCGCTACAAGTTGATGGCGATCACTATTCCCAGGATGCAGCAGGAACTGTGCATTCTTGCAGTTCACGATGCCGCACGGGCGAACGCAGACGATCCCGACGATGTAGCCGCCGGAAACGCCGGCGGCGTGCCCGCAAAGTCAAGATTGCATTTGCTTCGGAGGCCCCGAAGCGACTCAGGGCCAAGAGCCAGGCCAGTTTCATTATATTTGCGGCCGAGAAGGAGATTATATTACTCAAGAACGGCGAGGGCAAGGATGCCTTAGTGGAGTCGGGACCCGCTGCTATTTGAAAAGATATGCCGGCTTCGCAGCTGAAGCGATGGGCGCAGCTGATGCGTCGTGCGCCGTCAGTGCGATGGGGGCAACGGTTTTGAACGGATTGCTTCCTGACTATTGAACATCGACGAGATCGACCGGAGATTGTGCCCGATGCAATGCATGACAAATTGCGATTCTCCATTGGATATTGTGCGCCGTGAAGGAGCGGTGAAGTTGCCAGCGGATTGTCCTTCAGTGTTGGTTTGGACCGGTTTGTGGGAGGTGCTGGAGGATGAAGTGATCGAGGAAGTGGCTGCCACTACAAAGTCCCAGTTGCCGTAGCCTGGCGCCCGACAAAGTGTATGATAGCTGACGCGCAGATAAAAAGTATGACGGACTTCAGATGGGCTGAGCTATGCCTCGTCATGTGCTGTTTTACTGTTTCACCATAGCACGCCACCCACATCCGATGACAACACGGATACGCTATTCACCCTTTTGGGCTACGACGTGGAAGAGATAGTGATGGTGGTAATCCAACTGAATATGATACTATATATTCAGACACATGTAATATATAAATGAGATGCTACGTGTATGTTGGTAAGCCTGTATGCCACATCTGCGTGCCTGTCGGCGCCCAGCCAAAAGCCAAACGGACGCCTGTTGCCTGTTTTGTGTACTTCTACTTTCCCGAACATCTTGCTGACAGCCAGCGAGGAACCCTGTACTTCAGAATCCCGCACATAGCTGCGCCAGCTTGTGTGACAGCTTTTTGAACGACAAGGGGCAACATACTTTCATATCGAAAATGGAAGAGGGACCCTGCGCCCCTGCCCCGGCGCTTGCCCCTGTGGCTACTAGGTGCTGCCCCTGCGCTTGCCCGTCGCCGCACTTGTTTGCCTCCGTATCACGCTGTGGCTTATCAGGGCCCTTTTAACAGTAGGCGGCAAATAGGAATACGAATCATCGATGTTGCCAGCGCCGCATCGCATTTCAAACCGCAATTTCACAGGTGGACATACTGAAACGGCGGCGGATGAGGAGGAGAGGGGGGCGAGGTCCAGGGGGAGCGGGATGGGGGGGAGGGATTCGGGAGGTAGGTGAGGAACGGGAGGCCCCCGCTCCTTCGCGTAGCGCTGCTGCTCCTCTTGCTCCTCCTAGGAGAAGGGGAGGGGGCAGAGGGAAACGTGTTACTACTTGTGTTGCCTTCTGGGGCCGACCTGGGCTGTGGCTCTCTCGGGGCCCTGTCAGGCAATGTTGGGTGCCTTTTGGGCCCTTGTGGAGCGTATTCGGCCTCCAGGGGCCCTTTTGTGATGGGTATTCATGGGGCGTTCTGGGCTGTCCTGACGGTATCTTGGGCCGTACGGGCCCCCCTTCTTGTGCACCATTTTGAGACCATCTTGCGCTTCAAAGCTTGGGACGCAACAAGCGTTGAAAAACGTGGTTTTCCACCGATGTTTCGGTGATTCATGTAATTTGGGATCTCGCTTGGGCATTGCTTGGGCACTTGCTGGGGCCCCTCTTGTGCGCGTTCGAGCCGATGGAGCGTTAGGGCTTTCCTGTGCTGTCCACGGGCAGTCTCGGGAGAAGGTGGCCGCTCTCAGCCGCCCCAAGGTGGGTCCACGTTTTTTCTCCTCCCTTCGAAGAAAACGTCACAGAAATGCGAATGTCTGTCCCTGGTTGAGGGCGGTCGATTGCGAGCAGGCGGGAACTGAGTAAACGAGGAGTCTGAGTAGACCTTGTAAGCCCAGTGTGGTTGGCCGGATACGATTGTGGTAGGCGAGTGCAGAGACGAAAGATATTGGAGAGATGACGCGGGTGAGTCGAGTCCAAGTTCACAGTAGCCCCGAGTGAACGGCGCATTGGCAGAGAAACATGCATGGATATGTCTGAGAATGCCACTTGCGCCTCGGGGATCGACCACAAGTACATTTGACGTTGTACCGTCCCCAATGGCGCGCGAGGTTCAACGCTCCCGGGTGGGTTAAAGCTCCCAAGTGAGGGATGTTGGGGCCCCAGGGTCTCACACAGGTTCTGTGATGCTGACGGGGTCGGCGTACAATCCTTGTTCTCCCCACTCCTGATCCTCCTGACCGTCCTCCTGGTCCATCTCATGAAGGTCCTCCTCATCATCCCCCCTGGCATCCCTCCTGACCTCCTCGTCCTCACCGTCCCGATCCCCCCTCCTCGTGAGTGCAGAGGTGCGGCACAGCCGCACCGCGGGGACGAGGGCGGCCCAGATGTGCCCCTCAGGCGAAAAGGGCCAAGGTGGTGGCCGCCAACTCCGCGAGCATGGCGCCGGGCGCAGACAAGAAGGTTCGACGCCGAGCCCAGGGGGGAAGCGAGAAGGGGTGGGCCTTCTCAAAAGGCTCAGAATACCTCGGGCCTTCTGACCAGTTCTCTGGGCCTTCCTCGAAGACGCAGACAACTTCCCAGGAGTCTAGATGGCTCCCGAGAAGCCCCGCCGCCTTCTGAGATGGCCTGCTCCTTCTCACGTCCCCCCCGGGTGCGCCGCCAAAAGGTACCCGTGTCGGTCCTCACGGGCTTCCTCGGGAGCGGCAAGACAACGTTGCTGAACCACATCCTGCAGGCGGGCCGCCCAGACTCTGCCCATGCCTCGGGCGGGCCGATTTGTTCTTCCGTCCCTGAGGTCCCGGCGTCGCCATTTTTACATCATATAGGCGATCTGGCCTTGTTTCGGGCCCCGGGACCCTCGCGGATCGACCCGGCCCCTGAAAATGATGCGGGCAGAACAGAACGGGTCCAGGGTTCTGACCGCGTGCGACTTTGAGAACGGCACAAGCCCCTGGCTGGGAGCGAGGGCGTTCTGCTGGCCCCCGAGAACACCACGAACCCTCCCCACCCCCCGCCAGGACCCCCTGGATCACCAGGTCGGGAGCGGGGGTCCTGGCTTGGGCGGTTGTGCTGTCCTCCTATCGAGGACGACGACGGCGGAGGCGACCTCGACGACGCTGACGCTCTGGAGCCCTTCTTGGGGCTCACTTGGGAGCCCATTGTGCTCTCTGTTGGGGGGTCTCTTTGGGCTTTGGGGACTTCTTCGATAGCTCCGTGGCAACTTGGAGCCGCCTCGGAGCAGATCTGAGGCCTCTGGGAGGCATGTAGGACAACACGCAGCACCCCGCAACAGCAGACAAGGGTGAGGAGGGTACCTCCGGAGGGGGGGGTCCGGGAGGGGGGATGGTGGTCCCCTTGTCCACAGGGGGGAGGCGGGGGAGGGGTTTTCAGCACCCCCTGTCCACAAAGGATGGGACCGCCCCCCCTGTCCTCCTTGTCCACAGGAGAAGGGTCACGACCCCCAGAACCTTCCCCCAGCCCCCCCCTCCCCCCGCCAGGGAAGGGATCAAAGGGAAGAGGCTTCCATTCGAATCAACGACGACGTTGATTGATTTCCGTCTGGCTGGATCGCTTGAGGAGGAGGGCCCAGGGAATCGGGGGAGCCGGCGACGGCGACGATGACTCAAACGGAAAGAAGTTTCACACACGCCGACAGGATCGGCGGACTCATGATAGTGCAAGCTATGCTTTGAGGACAAATTCGTACTGATGCCAGGTTGTTCCCTTCACTGCCCTGCCGTCGACTTCGCCCAGGCGGTGCGTTTGGGATCACCCTCCTTGAGGGGCAGCGGCTTTCCCCTCCCCTTCCATGCCTGGGTGCCGTTGAGGGCAGCTGTCCGTGACGTCGGACCTCTGGGCATCACTGCGTCTTCCTTTCCTCTCCTGGCTTGCGGGGGCCGTCGGCGGGCCGCGCGGCCAGCAGGAGTGGACCCGGGGCGCCGAGCTGTGCCACCGCTGGCGATTTCGTGGGCCGTTTTCGTTTCGACTCCGTTTTGCGGTAGAGGCGGATTGGAGCCAAAACGAGGGAAAACGATAACGAAACGAAAACGAAAAGCACCGTTTAGGTTCAGCCCTGCATTACACCACGTTTGGGCAGGGCCGTCCTGGGCGCCATAGGAAGACGCAGGGGCCGCTCCTGGCTTCGGCCAGGAGGACGTACATGCACAGGGTGCCCGGGCCCAGGAGCTGCCCCGGCCACGCGCGGCGGTGGCGCACAGGTGCCACGGGGAGGGTGCAGATGTCATGGCCAGGGCCGGGATGCCTCCCCAGACCTCATGGCCCCCCTTCTGCTTCCAACACGCCCCCTCTGGTCCGCCCTTGGCCGCCCACGTGCCTGGGCCCCTGACGTTCGACCCCCCCTCTTGGACGCCCCCCTCTTGGACGCGCCCCTGATTCTGCGCAGGCGAACCACGGCAAGCGCATCGCGGTGATCGAGAACGAGTTCGGGGAGGTGGGCATCGACGACTCGCTGGTGAAGGCCGGCTCTCTGGCGTCCGAGGAGAACATCGTCGAGATGAACAACGGGTGCATCTGCTGCACCGTGCGCGGCGACCTCATCGCAGGCCTGAAGACGCGCCTCTCGAAGAGCAGAGAAAATCATAACACGCACATGTTCGGAGGTCCGTGCAGATTCGATGTGGCGGCGCTGTGCCCCCTTGTCGGCGCCTCTGGCGCTGCTTCTGGGGCGGATCTCTTGGGGCGCGCTGGAGGCGCCGCCGTGGGACCAGTGGTGTCGGCGGAGTTCAGCGCGGACACAAGAAGACCGCGCGGACCTCCGAGCATTTATGTTTAAGCCGTTGTTTGCTATTCAAGGCCTGAAGAAGCTTATCAAAAATTCGCAGAAGTCTGGCAGGCTCCTCGACGGAGTGTTGATCGAGACTACCGGCTTGGCGGACCCCGCGCCTGTTGCACAGACGTTCTTTGCCGACGACTACGTGCAGCAGCACATGCGCCTGGACGGCATCCTGACTCTCGTGGACGCCGCGCACATCATCCAGCACCTCGACGATGAGAAGCCAGAGGGCGTTGAGAACGAGGCCGTGGAGCAGATCGCTTTCGCGGACCGCATCCTGTTGAACAAGTGTGACTTGGTAGACGGCGAGGAGCAGTTGGCAGAAGTGGAGAGGCGGATCCGTGCTATCAACGGAAAGGTGCCCATCAAGCGGACCACGAACAGCGAGGTCGAGATGGACTATATCCTTGGCATCCGAGGCTTTTCATTGGACAAGATCATGGAGATGGACGATGCGTTTCTGGAGGACGGCCACGACCACCAGCACGACAACCGTGTCTCATCTGTCGGCATCGACGTCCCGGGCGAGGTGGTTCAGCAAAAGTTAAACCAATGGATCTCGTGGTTGCTCAAGGAGAAGGGTGTGGATTTGTTCCGTTCCAAGGGCGTTTTGGCAGTAAAGGGGATGAAGGAGAAGTTTGTATTTCAGGCTATCCACATGCTCTTTGCGAACTCGCAGGAGGGCGCGTGGGGCGAGGATGAGGAGAAGAGGTGCAAGATGATCTTCATTGGCAAGAACCTGGACAGGGAGGAGCTTACGAGTGGCTTCATGGCGTGCATGGCAAAGATCTGATGGATGTTGCAAGGTGCTTCTTTTCAGTATCGTGAAGGCCACAAGGTTGCACTTCTATCGATGTATTTTGAGGGTGAATATGCAACAGTTTTGTGACTTCGACCCGCTCGGCAAGAACCTGGACAGGGAGGAGCTTACGAGTGGCTTCATGTTGTGCATGGCAAATATCTGATTGATGTTTCAGGGGTGTTTCTTTTCAGCAGCGTGAAGGCCACAAGGTAGCACTTCCGACGATGTAGTTTGAGGGATGAATTTAAAACAGTTGCGTGACTTCGTCCTGCTCGGCGCATTCCGCCAATTCAGGATGCAAGGAACCTGCGCCAGAGCGGCACCGTGACGATTTGGGCGATCAAGGCGTGTCGCCGTTGCTGGAGTCCTCTTCGGGTCCTCTCGAGCTACCCTGCGGCCCTCGCTGGGCTCTCTCGAGTCCCTGGGGCCGTCTTCGGCACGTGTTTTTGGCCTTCCCGAGGAACCCTCCCGTCTGCCGCTCGGGAAGCCATCTGGAGCGGCCGTCTCCGTGCGTGGGGCCCTCCTTGGCGACCACTGAACGCTTCGGAGAATTCATGGGCCGATCATCAGCGAGAGGCGAGAAGGCAGCAGTGATACATAAGCCATACGTTGTTTGCATGCTGCCGGTTTCTCGTGGATATCCTTTTTCAGGGCATGTGACCACTTGGACCCGTCTTGGGGCCGTCGTGGGGTCTCGTGAAGGCATGCTGGATGCTTTCGAGTATTGAGCCATCGAAGGGTATTGTAGGTAATTTGGCTATCTGGTACCATATCCTAGTCATCTAGGATAAGAACAAAGGGCCCTTGACTTCGGCGTCCCGAAATAGAGATGTGTTGGAAGAGCTGACTCGCTAAACCGCCTCCGTCCAGAAGGCTGGTGTGCTGAGACCAAGCTGCCTGCGGTAAGTCCTGCCACCATGCCAGCGCAGCACTCTGGGTGCCTCATCGTTGTTTTCGGCGTCGTCATCCTCACCCTCCTCTCATATACAGTGCAGCAGCCGAGCAGGTCATAAGCAGCAGCGGACGAGACGAGACCCACGAGCCCGATTCGGATCCGATCTTGGTCTTACCGCAGCAGCGTCTTTCCTGCCCATTCTGTCCTTTCCCCACTTCTACCCGTTTCATCACACCTTTTATACTCTCCCCCCTCTTCTCCCTCCTGGCAATCTCCTACCTCCTCCTACCTTCTCCTCCCTCCCTATCCTCCTTTCTCCGCGTCCTCCCTCCCTCGTCCTCCTACCTGCTCATCCCTCCTACCTCCCCCCTCCGCCGCACGTCATGGGCGTGGGGCGAGGCCGGGAAGGGGGCGCGTGCTCGCAACGTTGCTTGTCTCGGCGCCAGGGTGGAGGCAAATCGGCGGGGGGGCCTTGGTGGGAGGCAGGCAGGCGCACGAGGACGAGGGCCAGGGGGGGGGAGCAAGACGCGGAGGACGAGGGGGAGGGGAGAAACGGGAGGGCAAGTTGGGTGCGCTCGCGCCATATCTGAACCCCTCCCTCCCATCCTTTCTCTTTTCCTCCATCCGCGGACGCTTGTCAGAGCCGACCTGGAAATCCACAAAGACCCCATCGTGTGATGCGCTCTCGGAATATCTGTGGCTTGTGGGACCTGTGGGGCAGGTGAGAACTGGGGACCTTGGGGATCTGTGGGACCTGTGGGGCCTCTGAGACCTGCGAGACCTGTAGGACCTGTGGAACTGGCTGGACCTCTGGGTCGTGTGGGACATGGGGTATGTCTGCGGGTCCTGTGAGACACTCGACACCTATTGGACCTGTGGTAGCTGCGGGACCTGTCGGACTTGTGGGGCCAGTGGGACCTGCGAGACCTGCGACACTTGTGGGATCTGTGTGGAACCTGACAGACCTGTGGTACCTGTGGGACTGGTTGGACGACCTGTGCGACACTTGCGAAACATTTGTGGGTCCTGTGGGATCTGTCGTACCTGTGGGGCCTGCGTGACCTTCGAGACTTGTGGGATCTGCGAGACCTGTGGGATCCAGAAAAGTTCATTGGTCCGAGAAATACCCGTACCCGGGGCCAGCCAAGGTGAGATGGGCTGTCCGGGGGACTGGGCGCTTGCTACTGTGCCCGGTCAGCTTGCCCCGCGCGCGCCAGTGCAGCATCCGCGCGTCAAGACGCAACGGCGCGCTCGATGGTTTGGTGTCAGATTGCCGCGACAAGCGTTGGTTTTTGTTCGGGACGTCTCGGGGCATCGTGGTGCGTGCGCGGTTCAGAGCCGCCCATACGTGGCGGCGCCTGTCCCAATCGATAAAGAGTTGCATTTCCTCGATACCCTGGCAACCAATGCGTCTGGGCCTGCCCTGAGGAACGACGATGCAATGTCGCGCCCCCAGGGGGCCGCAGCGGCCACGTCGTGGACGGCTCTGGAGGGCATGATATGTACTCGAGAGCGTTTTGGGCCTGCCGCCACCTCGGCTAGGTACGGGGACCTGTCTGAAACCACCGAAACATACCCGGACCTAGCTGGGGTGAGCTGCGGCACCCCGGCTAGGTACGGGTATGTTTTTGGGGTCTTTATGGGGCAACCGTACCTAGCTGGGGTGATCCGCAGACGGCCGTCCAAGGGGGGCGGCCTCTGGTGACCTCGCCCAGGGCACAGATTCGCGATGTCTCTGCATCGAGCAATTCGCGATAGGGCGGTTGTCGCGCAATGGCGTTCGCGCCAGGGTTGTTCGCATGCGCCCCCGAGTGCGCGTTGACTCCTCAACGCCCGGATGTGTGTCTGGGGGCGCGCCTCCGCAGTAGCTGGTCTACATCGACAACAACCAACGCAGGGTCGGGCACTCCGCCGATTCGAACGCACGTGCGATCGGTGCTAATGTGCGCCCCGAGAAGACAGCGGTCTGTAATGCTCGATCGGCTGTCGGTTCTACACTTGTGCAGCCGCCGTCAGCTGCGACGAACCGCCCCCCCAGCCCTTTGCCACCCTGTCTAGGTAAGGGTACGGGTATCTTTCGCGCTCGAGAAAAGTGGCGCAGCGCCGATGCGAAAATTAGTTCACGCTGCAGCGGGAGCCCAATTCTTGAAACACCGGAACCAATCGGAGTGCAAGCACACATCGGAAATATTATATTTTGGAATCCGATGTGTGAAAAATCAGTGCGCGGACCGGACTCAATGCCCCAGACAGAGTCAGGGGAATTGGAGCATGAGGGGAGGCGCATCAGGAAAGAAGGGGAGGAAGAGGCGAAGGAGGAGGATGGGGAGGTATGATGCAGTAGGAAACATGGTGGAGGGAGAGGAAGGGGAGGAGGAGGAGGAACCAGCAGAAGGAGAAATCGGAGGCACCAGTTTGAGGAGAAACACCCCGAACATGGTGAGGATGTGGAAGCCGAAGAGCAGTTGGGGAGGTAGTTAGTCGCCATTAGCGCCTTGGCGGTGGTCAAAGTTTCGGCTTCGGCGGGCTCTCATTGCCTGACGCGTTGGCGCCCGAGGTCGTTGCAGCACAAGCTGTACCTCGACATCTCGCGCATCATTGTGCCCCCCCCCCTCTGGCTTTTCCAGTGCGTTCCAGTTTGGGGCGCGCGCAACGGGGTCAGCGCTAACGGAAGTCGGCCAGTCTCCTCCCTGACCCAGGCTTGGGAGCCAAGTGGAGCCACCCAGGCTTGGGAGCCACCACGCGGCCAGCGGGCGATCGACGACGCACGGTTCTCGCTGACCCGGGCTAGCGCTGACCAGGGTCAGCGCGTCCCTGACCTCTTTGAGATGTTCGACCGTTTGTGGCTTCCCTGGCCACTCCCGAGGCCGTGGGGCCGTCAAATAAAAATCGGGATGATAAGCTGGTGTCGGGGAAAGTTTGGGGGAACGGTACTTTTTTGCCTCATGCCAAGCGTTCACGTTTTTGCGCATGCCGATGCTCTTCCTCCTCCGCCTCATCCTGTTCCTCTTCTCCCTCCTCGGTCTTTTGCTTGCTGCTCTTTCCCCCTCTCTCCTCGTCCTCCTTTCTCTCATCCTCTTCCTCCTCGCTCCTCCTCCCCTCTGCCACGTCCAGACGACCTCTTTAGTGCACGCTTCGAGCTTATGCCCCCGACTTCGCGATTGATCCACAGCGTTGCCCCCTTGGCCGTATGGACCCCTTCCCCTGGACCCTTTCATCCCGATTCGTTTTCGACGGTCCTGGAGCCCGTTGCAGAATTCCGAAAGGGGTTCTGGCCAAAGCAACGAGAAGCTTTGCGGGTCAGACAGGGTGGAAGACCTCCGAACACTTCGATTCTCGAACTTCCCCTGCGGCTCCAAGGTATTCTTCTCCCACCCCCCATTTCTCATCTCTCCTCCTCGTCCTATTCCTGCTCCTTCTCTTGCACCAGGGGCCCTCGTCAGCCAGACTCTCGGACCGACATCGGGATGAGAGGTCGGTCAACATGAACCCGGCGCGGCCCCTATTTGGGGACAGTTTTTGTTTGCATGGGCGCAGTGTTTGGCATTCTTGCCATTGTTTGCCATTGCTTGCCATCGCTTGCCATTGCTTGCCATTGCTTGCCATTGCTTGGCATCGTTCAGCATTGCTTGGCATTGCCTGGCATTGTCTGGGCATTGCTTGGCATTGCTGGGCGTTGCTTGGCATTGCTGGGCATTGCTGGACATTGCTTGGCATTGCTTGGCATCGTTTAGCATTGCTTCGCATTGATTGGCATTGCTAAGAATTCGAGGCTTGGCATTGCTTGCCATTGCTTGGCATGTCTTGGTATTGCTCAGCATTGCTAAGAATACGAGGCACTGGGAGCGGGAGATCCCGAGGAGCACGGGGAGCTCGAGGAACCCGGGGAACCCGAGGGACTGGGACACCCGAGGAACCCGGGGAATTTCCGAGCAACGGGCGACGAAGAATTGGAGGCACCGAGGGCGAGGGACCCGGGGAACCCGAAGGACCCGGGAAACTTCCGAGCAACGGGCAACGTAAGACTCCGGGGCACCATCCTTGAACCAAGTAAGAACTCCAACGAGGGTATATCAAACGTGTGGGGCTCGAGGATTGCAGGAAAGCGGCCCCAACGGGGCCCGGAATGGCATTCGAACTGCCACCGCAGGCTCGACACGTCCACGAAGGGTGCAATTGGCCCCCCCCCCCACCCCCCAGTCGACAAACATTTGGAAATCACGACGCTGGATCATGACGTCGGTGGTGTGGGCCCTCTTCCCCTCAGCGACAACGTCCGGGAGGGGGGATAGGCTCAAGGGGGGGTTGCATCGGCCCCCAACCGCCAATACCTCGCCGATGGGGGCCCGATAGGCCGCCCCGCCCAGAACCGTGCGGTGCGCGGTCTCGCTATGTGTGGCCCTCCGCGCATCCATCAGCGATGTATCGCCAAGTCCAGGGCGATGCGATCGCGCGCAAATGAGGATGCGACCGAAGAAGAAACCTGGAGGTTCGCAGAGCCCCAACCCTGCCCAGGCGATGCGCGGGCTGCCCTGTGTGTGTTTTTTCGAGAAGGCGCTGCGGCCACAGCTTCTTGCGGGCCTGCGCCCGCCGGGTCAGGCCCCGGGCCGCTCTTACTGAGTGGAGTTTCGCCAGAGAGGATTCTGTCCACCCCCGGAGCCGGTCCCCGCGTATCGTTCCTCAGGGGTTGAACGCATGGGCCACCCATCGCCGCCCACTGATTGCCGATGTAGGGGCCCCGTATCCCCTCCCGCCCAGGAGCGTGCGGTCTCGCTGTCGGCGGCCTGTCGCCGATCTATCGGCGATGTACCGTCGATGCCGGGTCGATGGTTCCTCCCTTGAGGGTATTACGCTAATTACCGTCTCCTTTCATTCCCCCCCCCTGCCGCTCCGAGGTGTTCTCCTTCCACCGGGCGGTGACCGTCGCGGACAACGCCTCGCTGTGGGGCCACCGGCTGCAGGTGGGGCACTCCCCGTGCTAGCCCGCACCAGTCAGGCTTGTGAAGTGGGCCGGCGGTTCGGGGGCGGGCACGAGGTCTGCACTCGCCCCTCCGATCGTGCCCCCTCCTGCGCTCGCCTCCTTCGCGTTATTCCTCCTGTCTCTTCCTCGAGAGCTGTCGCGTGTGCGGGAAGCAGGGCGTCGCCGGAGAGAGGTCCCCCCCTTGGGCGCGAAGGGGCCTCTCCCTCCACACTCTTCATGCGCTCTCTTCCTCCTGTCTTCTCGCGAGCCGTCGCGTGTGCCACAAGCAGAGCTTCGCCGGAGAGGGGTCCCCCACAACCGGGGCGCGAAGGGGCCCGGTGATACCCCCAGCGGCCCCCCTGTGGGATGCCCAAACGTAATGCCTGTTGCGACTACGATGGAGTCAGAGTAATAGGAGCGGGTCTGGATACGAGGGGGGCTGATTGTGAGTGTCTCAGTCTGAATCTGGGTATTAGTGAGTCTGAGTATGAGTGCGTATGAGAGCGGCTGAGTCTAATTATGAGTGAGTCTGCGCGTGAGCGAGTTTGACTACGACTGAGTCTGAATACGAGTGAGCCGGGCTAAGTGAGTCTCAGCATGAGTGAGCCTGCGTGTAAGTAAGTCCGAGTTTGAGAAACCCAGGTTTAGCGACTGAGAACGTGAGTGAACGAGTCGGAGATCGCCTGAATATGGGAATGAGGGCGCCAGTGAGGTGAGGTGAGGATGCGGAGGCGTAACAATAATCATAACAACCGCACGCTTACGATTTGTGATACTGGGAACATGAGTGAAACAAGCACATGCTGCATATTATGGCATCTCGGGGGTATCGTTGGGAGGTTACATGCTGGGAGCCGTCTTGGGGTCCATGGACCCTGTTCGACCTCTTCTGGAACACTTTTGGACATTTGGACGGCGTCGGAGGATGGATCGGGAGCCGAACTTCTCACGTTCGCTGGTTCTCACGCTCCTCTCTCCCTCCCTCCCCCCTCCATCCTCCCTCCTCCATTTTCCTCCTTCCCCTCCCCCGTTTCTACCGTTTCTCGCTGAGCAAACCTTCCCCTCCCCCTTCCTCCTCCTCCTCCTCCTCCTCCATCTCCCCCTCCTGCTCCTCCTCCTCCTCCTCCTTCCCCCTCCTCCTCCTCTCCCTCCCCCCTCCTCCTCCTCTCCCTCCCCCTTCCGCCTCCTCCTCCTCCCTCTCCCCCCTCCTCCTCCCCCGAGCGACGGCTCGAGGCGTCAGGCCTCCCCCCCTGGGGCCCCCCCTGAGCCCCGCCTCCCGGCGCCGCCGCCTGCCGCACCCCCCCTCCGGGCGCGGGAGGTGACGCAGACGCCCATCTTCGGCGAGAAGACCCGGGCGCGCGAGCGCTGCGTCGGCGAGGCGCAGAGGGCGGGAAGTGGGACGGGGAGGAGGACGGGTGGGGGGGGGGGCTGGGAGGGACGGGATAGGGGGGGGGGGAGCTCAGGAGGGAGGGGGGGGGGGGGAGGGTGACGGTGGAGGGTTGGGGGAGGGGCCGGTGGAGGAGCGGAGGAGGAGGTCCGGGAGGCGGGAATAGAGAGAGAGAGAGCTGGAGGAGAGTGGGGGGAGGCGGCGGCGGCGGCAGCGGCGGCGTGCGCCGGCAGCAGCGGCAGCCTGCGGCGTGCTGCCTCCCGTCGGCAGGCCCCCTTGGGGCAGAGCGGCCGGGCCCGCTCAGAAGGCTCGGAAGGCCTCCGGCCCTCTGCGAGGCTTCCCGGGCCTCCGAGGCCGCAGGGGGTTCTGTGGAGATGCAGTGGGAAAGGGGTGCCGCCGGTCGTTGAAGGTAGGTATTTTTGGATTCCCAGATCCCAATCTATTTCAAGCGCCTTCCTACTTCAAGGATCGGCATGCTTTTGCTGTGTTTTGATATTCTCTGGCAGGACCTGCACCCAATCCACTCTATCCGCCTTCCTGCTTCATGTTTTTACCTACTTCTTCCGACCGGCGTGTATCGTGTAAAGGGGTGCGGTGTGTTGATTGTTAGGCAAAGGGGATTCTGGCGATGATTTTCATCGCAGGTAGCATCGCCAGTTCCACGACTGGCACCATACCCCTTTATGCCACACCCCTTTCCGAACTCCAGAAGGACCCCTCAGAAGGTCAGACGGCTTCTGAGAAGCCCCGCCGATTTTCAGAGGTCGGTGCCACCTTTTTTTTGATCGGGGCCTTCCTGGCGGCGCCTCCGGCGCCGTCCTTGGCTCGCTCCGCGCGCTGGGGAGGGGTGTCCAGCGCCGATCCGAGAAGTCCGCGCGGACCTCCGAAAGTTTCTGTTCTTACGTGCCGCGTGTTCCCAGGAAGGGAAAAAAAACACACAGAGACACAATTCATTGTCGATTCCCAGGAACATATGGGAAAATATGGGAAGTTGGGGGGAAGACAACAACCCAGAGAATATGGGAACATATGGGGAATCCTGTTATTTGTGTCTATCTATTTGTGTGTCCCGGGACCCCTTCATGTTCCTCCTCTCGAGCAGGGCTGCCCCCGCCCCCCCGCGACGCAGCGCGGCGCCCCTCCGCGCGCGGCGGGGGCGGGCACGGCGCGCCGTGTGGGGCGAGGCGCAGCTGCGGATCATCGTGGACGCCATGGTGGCCTCGCAGGCCGCCCGCCCTCTGTGGGGGGGGGCCAGCGCGCGCGGCGGGAGGGTCGGGAGGCGCGCATCCGGCCGATTCCTTCATCAGGATTGAAAAGATCGGAGGTTGATAGACCTCCTACCCTGACACGTCGATTAGCGAATTGGCCGTTTTCGGTTCGCGAGAGGGTGTCGCGGCCGTCATTTTTGCGGGTCCAGGGCCGTCGGTTTCGGTCCCAGGCCGTTTTCATTGAGGGGAGGTTTACTAAAGGGAGGTTTGCCTGCCGCCGAAAAAAAAACACGGGTTGCTGAGCCTGCCGTGGGTGGGGAGTGGTAGTCCGAGGAGGAGAAGGTAACCCCACCAAGCCTTTAAGAACCCCCCCCACCCACCCACCCCCCTCATCCGGTGAAAGTATAACGCATCCGGCACCCTGGAAGCGTTACTTCGGCACCATAGGAGCCCGCAGAGAGCGTTCGGGGCCAGCCTGAGGCGTGCTGAGCCCTGCTAGCTCCCGCTAAGCCCTGCTACGCAATGATAAGCCCAGCTCTTCACATCTCACAGACGCATTCCCTCCCTCCGTCCTTCCTTCGTATTATTATTGTGATTTCTATTATTATGAGTAGTCGTACTCTTATTCGAATTACTCTTCGTACTCTTTCTCGTATGCTTATTTATGGTCCGTTGCCAGCGAGTCACCGGCTGTCCAGCAGCGGCGCTGAACATGGTGTTCTTGCCGTTGCCATTCTACGAAGAGTAGCCTTGGCCCCCGACAGTGTTCCCGAGGCCATGTGTGTCGACTACAGTGGGCTGTTCGCGGGAATGAAGAGTCCTGCGAATGCCTTGGCGGGGAGGTCTCGGTTCAGTTGTTTCCCCTGAAGAGAAATTCGCAAGAGGGTTTCTGACGGGCCTTGGCTGACTTTGTCCAAGGTCAAGGCCCACAAGGTATTCAGAAGTTCGACAGATCAAGCTGACTATCTGAATATTCCTGGCTCCGCGATGGCCGATGAGTTTGCCGAGCGGGAAGCCGGGATGCATGAAGCATCACCAGACGAGCTGTATGCAATAGCCCAGGGTGTCAGAGCCTTGTTGCAGGGGTTCTCCACATCCTGAAAGTTTGGCCCACTTTCGAATGCCAGTTCGGGGATGTGTCGAGGCCCGCTCGGCCCAAAGAGGCCAGGCCGCCTGTTTCTGCCCACCTCTCTGTCATGCATCGGGAGGTCTCGAGGTGTTTCAGGTGTTTACGAATTGTCTCGGGTCGGACCCAGACCTCCTGCCAATCCCCCAACCCCGCCCTTTGTGCTCTCCTGCGTGGGGGTGGTGGTGTGGGGCATAAGTTGAATTGGGCCAGGATGGTCGGGTGTGACGCGCCGATCATTTTTTGTGTGTTGTGTTGGGGCACGGCGCCGGTGAAGGCCGACGAGTTGTTGCAGCCCTGCACAAATCCGAAGCGGGCCATCCGAGAGGTCGAAGTTCTCCCGCGGTGTCGGGACTGGCTCTTCGTCCAGGCTGGAGGGCCCCTGTCGGATTTGGCTTAATTTTGTTTTAGGCGTTCGGTGCTCATGGAATGTCAGGACACCTTGTTGGGTCTTTGTGGTCTTTAAAGACGAGGAGGACGAGGGGGCGGAGGATGAGCAGGAGGAGGGGGAGGAGGAGGAGGAGGAGGAGGAGGAGGAGGAGGAGGAGGAGGACGAGGAGGACGAGGAGTCGAGGAGGACGAGGAGGACGAGGAGGACGAGGAGGAGATGATGATGATGGAGGAGGAGGAGGAGGAGGACGACGAGGACGACGAGGGCGAGGAAGGCGAGGAGGACGACGAGGACGAGGGGGACGACGAGGACGACGAGGACGACGAGGACGACGAGGACGACGAGGACGAGGACGACGAGGACGACGAGGACGACGAGGACGACGAGGACGACGAGGACGACAAAGGCGACAAAGACGACAAAGACGACAAAGACGACGAGGACGACGAGGACGACGAGGACGACGAGGACGACGGGGACGAGGAGGACGAGGATGACGCGGAGGACGAGGAGGACGAGGAGGACGAGGACGAGGAGGACGAGGACGAGGAGGGGGGGGGAGGGGGGGGGAAGGGGAGGGGGAAGGAGGATGGGGAGGGGGAGAAGGAGGGAGGAGGAGGAGGAGGAGGAGGAGGAGGAGGAGAGGAGGTGGAGGAAGAGGAGGAGGAGGAGGAGGAGGAAGAGGAGGAGGAGGAGGAGGAGGAGAGGAGGAGGAAGGAGGAGGAGGAGGAGGAGGAGGAGGAGGAGGAGGAGGAGGAGGACGAGAGGAGTAGGAGGAGGACGAGGAGGAGGACGAGAAGGAGGAGGATGTGGAGAACCAGGAGGACGAGCAGAACGAGGAGGAGGAGGACGAGGAGGAGGAGCAAGACGAGGAGGACGAGGAGGACGATTTAGACGAGGAGGAGCAGGAGGAAGAGGAGGAGGAGGAGGTTGAGGAGGAGGAGGACGAGGAGGAGGAAGAGGAGTGAGGGACGTGTTGCCTGCTCGTTCCTGTCTTAGTTTTCGGTCTCTGTCGCCGACCCCTCGGGGCCTCCGCCACCCCCCTTTGAGGTCGTGAAAACGCCGATGGTGCTGAAGCCGCTCGAGAAGAGGCATCTTCCTGTCTGTTTGGCTCTCCCCCCTCCTCCCTCGGGCTCCCGACGGATTACTATTGCGAATTGGAGGCGTGCCAAGCCCAACTAGGGCAGACCAGACGAGGCAGAAGGGGCAGCCCAGAATTATAGCCGGAGTGCAGTATCCCCACACAGGGTTTTTGTTAACCCATTGTGGTTTCCAAGGTCGATTGCGTGCCCGTCCAGTGCGGGCTAACATGGCATGTAAAAACATGATAACATGCTGTTTGCACATGAGATTTGTTACACGAAAACTTGTGTGACGCATGCTTATCAGAAAGCTAACGCTAGAGGGCGTCGTACTCTCGCACCTGGTCGACGAGTAAGCTGTCGGGTCGGCACTGTCAGAGGCTCCACCGCAATGCTGTGAACTCGGAAGCAACTGTAAGAGGAAGCGGGGGAGGGCGCGGAAGCGGGGGAGCATGTCGTGATAGTTTCCCTTTGTCGCCCCGGTTGCCCTGGATGGAACGTATTGGTCGGAGGCCTCGTTGAAGACCGCCGAAGCGATGTTCCCCCCCTTCTTCCCCTTCGGGGAGTGGTTCCTCTCTCCCCGTACCCGGGGTCAGAACAAAGAGCCCTGACAAGAAACCAGTCCTGGGGATGATATCGAGAGGTCCGCGGGCGCACGGCTCAAAAGAAAAATCGTGACGTCGGATGTCTGCGGAGGGCGGAAGGCAGGGCGCGCATGACGGATGCTGAGGCGGCAGAAACGACGACGGCGGGGACGGGGAGGCGAAGACAGAGGCGCAGCAGCGGGAGGCGGGAGGAGGGAGGAGGGAAGAGGAGCCAGGCAGGAAGCGGGAAGAGGAAGGCGGGAGAAGGAATGAGAGAGATTGTGATTGGAGCCCCTGTGCTACGAAACGTCTCAGGCAGAGCAGGCAAGACCATCTCGCGCGCAACATCTTGGAGCTTCGCATTGTGAGGATGGCTCAAGCGAAACGGGCCGGACTACCTCGCGAGCGACATCTTGGAGTTCAGTAGTGGAAGGATGTCTCAAACGAAATGGGCCAGACAACCTCTCGCACACGTTCTGACCAGTCCACGTCACATTCGTTTCCCGTTGGGTCCTCTCTCCTGCAGTTCCCTTCCTCCTCCGTCCTCCTCCTCCTCCTCCTCCTCCTCCTCCTCCTCCTCCTCCTCCTCCTCCTCCTCCTCCTCCTCCTCCCCCCCCCAGCTTGCTCCCTCATCCACATCCTCCTCCTCCTTCCCCCTTCCATCTCTTCCTTCTCCTCCTCATCCTCCTCCTTCTCCTCCTCCTCGTCCTCCTCCCCCACCTCTTCTTCATCCCGAGCGGCATCTCGGAGCCCAGAGTTGCGAGGATGTCTCCAGCGTAACGGGCTGGACCACCTCGCGCGCGGCATCTCGGACCCCAGAGTTGCGACGATGTCTCGGGCGAAACGTGCTGCGAGGAAGTCTCAGGCGAAACGGGCCGGACCACCTTGAGCGCCGCGTCTCAGAGCTCCGAGTTGCGGGGGCCTCCTGGGGCCTCCTGTGGACCTCCTGGGGCTTCCTCATGGGCCTCCTGTGGCCTCCTGGACCCCACCTGGGGCAGCCTCTTGGGGCTCCAAGGGGGGAATATCTAACATGTGGCCGTCTGGGCCTCCCAAATGGGGGGGGCACAAGAGGAGGAAAAATCAACAAATCAACACCGGATGTTTATTTACTTGACACGTTCTGATAAGGGGCCTCCTGGGGCCTCCTGGGAGCCTCCTGGGAGCCCCAGGAGGCCCCAGAGAGCTTCAGGAGGCAGCAGGACGCCCAGGACAAGCCCCAGGTCCCCAGGCTGGACCACCTTTTGCAAGGTACCTGGGAGCTCAGAGTTGCGAGAATGTCTTGAGCGAAACGGGCCAGACCACCTTGCGCACGGCATCTCAGAGCTCAGAGTTGCGAGGATGTCTCAGGCGAGACGGGCCGGACCACCTCGCGCTGGGCATCTCAGAGCTCAGAGTTGCGAGGATGTCTCAGGCGAAACGAGCTGGACCACGTCGCGCGCGCCATCTCCGAGGTCAGAGTTTGGAGGATGTCTCAGGCGAAATGGGCTGGAGCACCTCTTGCGCGGCAGCTCAGAGCTCAGAGTTTGGAGGATGTCTCAGGCGAAATGGGCTGGAGCACCTGTTGCGCGGCAGCTCAGAGCTCATAGTTTCGAGGATGTCGCAGGCGAAACGGGCCAGACCACCTCGCGCGCGGCATCTCAGAGTTCAGAGTTTCGAGGACGGCTCAGACGAAACGGGCCGGACCACCTCTCGCGCGGCATCGCGGAATGCAAAAGCGCGAGGATGTCTCAAGGGAAACGGGCCGGACCACCTCTTGGGCGGCATCTCGGGGCTCAGAGTTTGGAGGATGTCTCAAGCGAAACGGGCCGGACCACCTCTCGCGCGGGATCAGAGAGCGCAGAGTTGCGATGATGTCTGAGGCAAAACGGGCCGGACCAAATCTCGCGCGGCATGTCAGGGCTCAGAGTTTGGAGGATGTCTCAGGCGCAATGGGCCGGACCACCTCTTGCGCGGCATCTCGGAGCCCAGAGTTTCGAGGATGTCTCAGGCGAAATGGGCTGGACCACCTCTTGCGCGGCATCTCAGAACTCAGAGTTTGGAGGATGTCTCAAGCGAAACGCGCTGGACCACCTCGCGCACAGCATCTCAGAGCTCATAGTTTGGAGGATGTCTCAAGTGCAACGGGCCAGACCACCTCTCGCGCGGGATCAGAGAGCGCAGAGTTGCGAGGATGTCTGAGGCAAAACGGGCCGGACCACCTCTCGCGCGGCATATCAGGGCTCAGAGTTTGGAGGATCTCAGGCGAAATGGGCTGGACCACCTCTTGCGCGGCATCTGGGAACTTAGAGTTTGGAGGATGTCTCACGCGAAACGCCCAATCCCAGACAACTCAGAAACGAGAGTTGCGAGGATGTCTCAGGCGAAACGGCCCGGACCAGCTAATTTTTGTTTGAGGACGTCTCTGTTTTGAATTCCCTCGTCCGGAGTTAGCTTCTATCACAACAGCACCCCGTTCAGCAAGCTGTTTGGGAAAAAGGAACTGCCAGGCAGAGCAACGTTGATGCGGATCAGCGCAACGCGTCAAGTGCAGCGTATATCGATGTGCAAACAATGGCAGCTTGAGACCGTTGCGAATGGCAAGGACAGCTTGATCCTTGCAATGTAATCCGTTGGCAACCGCGAAAAAAATACTGGTCCCATTCCTGGTTGGTCTACGGTCTGCGCTCTCGGATCCCACGTCAGTCGACAGAAGGATGCCTAAACACGCACATGCGTACAAGCAGGAGCTAGACATCAGGAGCTCGTTTGGGAACCCCCTTTCGTTGCGAGAGTTCGGTCGGAGCAGAAGGGGAGGTTACATGCGGCCGGGACAGGTTGGGGATGCCTTCTGTCTTCTCTCTGCTTCCTGCCCTCCTCCCCGCGCATGGCCCGCTCAATCCAGCTCGAGCTTTTCTCTGGGGCGCTGCAGGCCCCGGGCGCCCGGCATTTGCCCCAGGGGCGCCCAGTGGGGGGCCGCGGGGGCGCGCCACCTACAGCTGGCGCCCGCGGCGGCAGCGGGAGCGGCGCGCGAGGTTTGGCGCGGAGCCGAGCGGGCGGTGCGGACTGGAAGCGTCGCGACGAGGTGCGCATCATGGTGGCCGCCTTGCCGATGATCATCGGGCCAGTGGCGGCCAGTGGCCGCCGTCGTTTCGGGTGCTGTCGGGATGGCGCTCGGCCCAAGGTGCCCCAGGATTTGCGGGGAGGCCCCCGTGGCTTCCAGCGAGCCCCATGACGAGGCCCAGAGTGCCTGAGAGGCTCCAACAGGGAGCGGAAAGCTGGGATCGTTTTGGGCCAGGGGCACCTCCAGCAACCCCCGACCGTTGGGCCCGCGGCGCCACGCCGGCGCTGCCGTGGCCGGGTGGGTCTGAGACGGAGGACGGCTTCCTGCTCTCCGTGCTGGCTCGGGAGCTGGCTCGTGGCGGTTACGGCACCGGCGAAGACCGAAGAGTAAGAAGTTGGCGTAAACCTCGATTCTCGGATTCGAGGTCGGTGCCTTCGTTCTGATCGGTGCCGGGGAGCGAGGTCCATCCCATCCCCAAGAAATCCCCGAGCGCGGGTGCAGCAGCGGCGAAGGGTGAGGGGAAAGGAGAACGCCGCTACCGCGGCAAGCCGACGCGCGCTCGGAGCGCGCAGGCCTCGCGATGGGCCGTTGGTGCGCGGGGGTCTGTTTACCCTCCCCCCACCGCGGGGAGAAAGTCATGAAGGGGACCAAGACCCAGAACACGAAGTACACGAGGACCTGAGCGCGCCCCCCTCTTCGGTGCCGGAACGCCGAGAGTTGTTGTTTGGGGCGGCCGTTCCAAGGACGCAGCAGCCACGCGGCGTCAGCCAGGCTCGCACGCGCAGGCGTGGACCGCGGAGGCGACGTCCGCGGTGCAGCGTCTCGCGGGGGGGCGCCGCCGGCCTGCCCCGGGAGCCAGCCCCGGGCAGTTCGCCGAGCGCGCTCCGCTTTTTGCAGAGTGCCTGCTCCAGATTTCGTAAGAAAGGGAGGGGGGTCTCATTTCGGGGGGGGGTCTCTTCCAGGCTATCTTGGAGGGCCTGGGGGGTCTGGGGACGATGTTTTGGAGGGTTCTCCCACGGGGGAGGTCTGAGATGGCTTGTCTTGGAGGGTCCAGACCCCCTCTCTTTTATTACGAAATCTGGAGTACTCGCAAGCGCCCGAAAAGCACCTGCCCACTTCGATCGCATTTCCCGCAGGAGGCCCTGCGAGAAACCCAGGCCATTCGCGAGCAGTTGCGTTGCGAGCAGTGGAACGCGCTCGTCGATCAGCGCCGGCTCGGCGGCGGGGCAGGGGCGAGGGGCCCCGCCGCGAAGACGGGGGCGATCGCCAGCGGGGGTCCAGCGGCCTGGACGAAGGGGGTGGGATTGGGAAAGGGGGGGGGTACGAAATCTGCTGCATGCAGCTGGTTTCGGCCCCGCCGCCGGGCCCATTCCTCGATGCACGGGCGCCTCCTAGCGCCCAGAGGCGCCGGGGAAATCAGCTGCGCGAGCTGATTCTCACCCCCCCCCCCTTTGCTATCCCCCCCTTTCGCCAGGCCCGAATCAAGGGGGGCGTGGACTAGCGATCGGGCCCCGTTTCCATGGGAAGTCGCGGATGCCGCCGCCGAGCGAGGCGGCACCGGCCGCATTTCGGGAAGGGCGCCTCCCCCGATCCATGGGTTTGGTGGCCGCGCGCCAAGTCCATGGATTCATGCCATGGATCGCTAGTCCATGCTTGCGCGCCCCCGAGCGAGGGGCAGCCCGATGTGGAGGCGGAAGAGGCGGAGGAGGAGGAAGAGGCGGAATAGGAGGAAGAGGGAGGAGAAGAGGAGGCCAGTCGAGAGGAATCGGCTGGGTCTTGGGGCGGACGGTTCAGCCCCCGACTTCGGCCGCCAAGCGCCCCTTCCAGCCCATCCCTGGCCTACCCCAAAGAGAGGGATGAGGCTGACGTGAACGGCTGGTGGGGTTCCACCAGCGTGCGCTTCGCGCACTGCCCTAGAAAGCGGGATCGGCGGCCTGCTCAGCGAGCGGCCGCCCCTGCAGTTGCCGCAGCGCGGGGCGGCGGCGGCGTCATTGGCCGGGCGGGGAACGTAGCGGGTGTGACCGCGTTCGATTGATTTTGGCCGGTGGTCTGCCCGCGCACCCTGGTGTTGGCGGTCGCCCTCGTCGGCGCGGGTCGCGGCCTTCGCCCTATCGCGAGCGCTTTGGACTTGCGGGTGGTAAAGTTGATCCTGCATATCCTGGGCGCGATTGTTGCGGTCGTTGGGTCGTTACCCCGGGGCGGCGCCGATTGGGGTAGGCGGAGTTGCAGATGGTGACGGTTGAATACCGCAGTTGATAAGATTAGGTGCTGCGGAGCAGGCGGACAACGAGCACTCTGACCAGGTGCGGGATCGTGACGCCCCGAGGAAGGCCCGCCACATACATGGTCATCAAGGTGGGCGACACGGCGGCACTATTGGGGCGTCCACCGTCGAGCTCCAGCGGGCACTTCGTGGCAGAGTTCGGGCGGAAGGTTATGGGCCCAAGTCGATTGGAAAGTTTTGACGGAAACGAAGGCTCGAATGACAGTGACCCATTATGATCACAGTGTATTTTTTGCCAAACGCAGCATAGGTGCAGTTTGACATTGAGTTCGGCTGTGGTACAGCCGCTCCACGGCGCCGTGGAGTTCGTCGCTTGGTCACCGCACGAGTCACGGCGTCCACCTATCCATGGGCGAAGCGCGAAGCGAGGCAGCAGTGCCAATCGGCTAGCAAATCAAACGTTTTGCACTGCTGGTGGATCCCAGCGCAGTACTAATACACCCCGGTGCGCCGTGCAGTAGTCTTTCTTCGCGGTACCACATCCTCACTTGAAATTGAGGCGTTGGCATTTATTACAGGCTTGGATTGTTTCAGTTAGGCTGTCTCGTAAACTTGCGTGGCCTAGGATTCATGCGCTTTGCGATTCGCATGAGCGCGACGCAGACGGCACCAACGAAACTTAGGATCTCCCTTCCCGCGGAGAGACCCCTGCACGCATTCAAATTACAGCGGAAGGCCGATCAACTCATGCAAATGGGTAGGGGAACAAATGCAAGTTCAGATCGCCGCGAATCACATGAACGCGACGCAGACCACACCGCAGGAACTCGGCGCATGGCGTGACCCTCAGCAAGGGTTTTCTCGTCCGAAGTTCTGCGCCTACGTTTGCAAACGATTTGCAACATGTAATGGATAATCAATAGGCAACTAAACATATCCCCAGGATGTTGCATGACATGCGCCATGCTAGTGATGTTGTGCCATATGCGCGCGCGTGCCGCGGCGCAAAACAATGCGGTACTCACGGTCACCGCGCAAGCCATACAGTGAAGTTTGGAAACGACAAAACAATGGTTTTTCACGTTTCGCGTACCCCTACCAGCCCATGCCAGGTTTACGGCTGACGCAAGCAGCTTAGCTGTCTGTGCTCATCACACTGAGCCCGCTTTTACATATTCTGGCGATTTGGGTGTTGCACGTCTTGATGTTTTCACACCGTCGGACACAGAGGTGTCGTTCGTGACAGCGTCGGCCTGCCCCGCGTGGTTGGCTGTGGCCAGCCTTGATGAGGATAGCCAACCACGCGCCGAAACGCTGGAGACGGACAGGGCCAGAGGTGCCCTCAGAGTGGGCATGCTCAGTCCTAGGCCAAGGAGAGGTGTTCAATCAACTGTTTCGACCTTCGACGCTGGTTGAGCGGGGGGGGGGCGAGGTGGGTGCACATTCTGTATTGTATCTTGCAGTGATGTGGATATATTTGGCAAGCTACTGGCTATCAACCGGATGTTTCTCCCGAGTTCGACTTTACCATGGCACGATCGCTCAGCGCGCCAGCGCTGGGCTCCGGCGGATCTCCCGAGTGGTCGTTGAGTTATTGCGTCATTGTTGTTTCCGTGTTAAAGAGCAAGGGTCGCGTTATCAAAGAATGGTTTTTTTTTGCAGGTGCGTTGTGATTTTGCTGCTGCGTCCATGTTCGAGTCCGGCATGTCGGGCCCAGCGGTTCTGGCGCGAGCTTTGGAAGCCGCAGGTGGCATGGGCGATGCGTCCCGCTCGCGCCTAACAGGTGGCTCGCGCCCCGGCCGCGGACGGCGCCGCCTCTTGGAAAAAGGGAGGCACCCGGCGGATGGCCACCAGTGCATCAGCAGGGAGGCCGCGATGCCACAAAAGAGGGAGCAGTTGTTCCTTCTGTTCTCTGAGAGTCAAATGCCAAGCTTTCGGTTGACGCAAGTGTCTCAGCTGTGTGTGCTCATCGCACTGAGCCCGCCCTCTCCCCGGGGTGCGTTTTGGCCAGAATTGCAAGGCGGATCCAAGGACCATGCCTCGAAGACGTCTTTGGGAGGACGGGGGGCCCAAGGAAGCTCTGGGAGCCACCGAAGACCGCGGCCCTCGCCGCCCCGATCCCGAGGCTGTTCACGAACTGCATGATGGTAGTTTTCCAGCTGATCAACGAGCTCCTGGCCGGCGAGGGGGAGGAGCGCGCCTGTGCCGCCAAGCAGAGGGCGAGGAGGAGGAGGAGGCGTTTGGTTCTAAAAGGGAGCGGAGGCCAAGAGCATCGAGGGCGAGTAGGGGGAGGGGTGACAGGAAGGGTGGGGGATGAGAAGGAGGGGGCGAAGGAGGAGGAGGAGGAAGACACGTAGACAGAAGATGACATCGACAGCCTTGATCCTTAGCCTTTTTCTTCTTTATGGTCCCTCGTCCTCCTCCTCCTCGTCCTCACTTTCCTCCGCCTGGACCTTGGACTGACTTGCCCAGAATTCTCAGCATCACCCAACTCGGGCGCAACGAGAACCGAGTATGGAGGACATAGAAGAGAGTAAGAAGAATAGTCCCAGGGCAGTGTCCAAAGGATGCAGAGAGGCGGATGTAGACGAGAGGCGGAAGAAGAGGAGCATGAGGAGGAGGGGCAGAGGAGAGGAGGAGAAGGGAGGGAGAGAACGAAACGTGGGGGGAGGAGGCTCCCACGTAACTACTCCCCTGCACCCCCTGCCTCTGTCCCTGCGTGCTCTCGCGCACTCCAGCTCCCTTCTCTGCTTCCCCCGGGTCACAGAGCCGCGCGCGAAAGCCGTCTGTTCGCCATGCGGGAGCGCCCGCCCAGCGCGTGCCCAGCCCCAAAGATCCAGGCGTGCCCAGCGCTGATCCCTGTTGTGCGGGACGGCGGGTGGGAGGAGGGAGGAGACGGAGGAGGAGGAGGGGGAGGCGGAGGAGGACGCGGCGCTCCAGCTCGCTCTCGCTGGCCAGCTCGATTCTCTGTTCAGAGGAAACGCCGGGGGGGGGGGGCGGTAGGCACAGGAGGGGATGCACCGACCCCCAATCACATATTGATCGCCGATGGGAGGGGCCCGGTAGCCCACTCCGCCCAGGGAACGTGCCGGCCCGCTATCGGTGGCCCATCGCCGATCAATCAGCATTGTATCGCCGTTTCCAGCTCTATGCCTCCCCCCTTAGCCAGTCCCCACCCCGTGGCCCTCCTCGCGCAGAGCCGTGCCCTGGGCGTACGCTCGCCGCGCCCATGGAGGAGGTCACGTTCCTGGGGCACAAGCTGCGGTTCATCCTGGAGCCTGAGCCCGCCGAGCTGGTTCGGAGGACCGGCGGCACGGTGCGTTTTTTTCGTGACGGCCAGGGCTTCCCTCTCGTCGGAGGAGGGCCAGCTGAGACAGCGGTGTGGTCGGGCGATTTGGGGAGAGTAAGGAAGAGCGGGGTCTAATCTTAGGGGAACACCAGAACGAGTATGCGTTTCATCGTTCCCGTACAAGCATTGCGCATGAGCCGCATGAGGTAGCAAACGTGTCGCACGCGTCACAAAAACAATACGCAGTGTGGGGAGGAGGGCTTCGTCGCCACGGCTGAACGCAGCTCGCGAACTTGGTGCATTTGGACCCCGTGAGGGGTCGGGGATCGATTCTGAGCTGCCGCTGTGTCTCAGCTCGCGCCGCCCCGAGCTTCGGGATGCGAAGAGCGGCAGCAGGCCCCTGCCCTTTCTGGGAAGGAATCTTTGTCAGTATGGCAGCGGGAGTTGCCCTGATGGGGACGGTCGTCGCTTGCCTGGCAGTGGCCGCTGCCGATGTTGGGGCAGCGCTCGTCGTTGCGCGTTGTCCCAGTTTTTCTCCGCCACATCTCAGGCCCTGCGGGGCGCGCCTCACCGACTAGCCTGTTTGCTAGTCCGCGTGGCGCCCTCTCTGGTCGCCGTACACTGCGCGCTGCGCGCAGGCCGTCCCCAACACACACACACACACAAACAGACTCGCAGGCACAAACGCGCGAGGGCGGCGTTGTACTGTGCGTTTGAATTAAGGAGGACTGACCAAAAGTGGCCCCAGGAGGGACCCAAACTGTGTGTCATGGGGAAACTTGCGTCTGGGAGTCAGTGTGAAAATGCGTGAAAGCGTGAATGTAGAGCATCTGCGAGTCAAGACGCGTTGTCTTCTGCGCAACATTATTGTCGTTCGTGTTCATGTGCAATGCTATGATCCTGAACGTGTTACTTCGATATGCAGCTTCAGGTACACAGTATGGGACACCCGATCTAAACTATGCAACTTAAATTGCGAAGTCTGAGATCAGTAACCTAGGGTATGCAATCTGCACAGCAGGTATTACACAAAAAGGATGCCTTCTATGGAGAAGACAAAAGGCTGGCGCTGGAATTGTAGCTGAGGGGCTGGATTTTGGGCTTGGCTGCAGCTGGAGTCGGATATGTAGCTGGAGCTATACCTGAGCAGAAGCTCGGTTGAAGCTGGAGCTGGGCGAACCTGGAGCTAGAGCTTGAGCTGGAAAAGTGGCTGGAGCTAGTGCTGGAGCTAGTGCTGGAGCGAAGCTGGGGCTGAACCTGGACCTGGTCTGAGGTTGGAGCGGGGCTGCAGCTGGGCCTGACGAAGGACATGGAACGGAGCTGAAATGGGGCTGGAGGTGGACTTGGCGCTTGAGCTGGGGCTGGAGCTCGGGCTTGAGCTGAGCTGGATGGACGGGAGCTGGGCCAGAGCTGGAGCCGTGACTGGAACTGGTCCTGGGGCTGGAATTGGAGTTGGTCTGGAGCTGCTGGAGCTGGAGTTGGGGCAGAACTGGAACTAGGGATGAGCTGCATCTCGACCTGGACTGAAGCTAAAGCTGGAGCTGGGGCTGGAACGAAGTTCGAGCTGGGGCTGAAGCTAAAAGCTGCGACCGAGCTGGAGGTTGGACTGGACCTGACCTTGGCCCCCTGCTGGCCACCTCTCCTCAGTACCGTCCTCCCCTTTCCACTGCGGTGATTATCCACTACCTCGTCCTTCCACCTCTCCCTCATCCTCCTCACCCCCCCCTCCTGTCCCTCCCCATCTTTTTCCCTTATTTTTCAGTGACCCCAACGGGGAAATCGGTTTCGGTTTCGGCTCGTGTCGTGCGTGCGGGTGAGGCGAAGCTGCGCGAGTTCCGTCCTTAGTAGAAGCCATCTATTGCCAAGAGGGCCGCCCCCCGAGCGCCGGGCGTGGCCCTCGGTTGTTCCGGCGGTTGTCCCGATGCTTGTCCCGATGCTTGTCCCGATGCTTGTCCCGATGCTTGTCCCGATAGGTCCCGATGCTTGTCCCGATGCTTGTCCCGATGCCTTTCCCGATGCTTGTCCCGATGCTTGTCCCGATGCTTGTCTCGATGCGTGTCCCGATACGTGTCCCGATGCTTGTCCCGATGCTTGTCCCGATGCTTGTCCCGATGCGTGTGCCGATGCGTGTCCCGATGCTTGTCCCGAGGCTTGTCCTGATTGTTGTTCTGATGGTTGACAGATAGATAGATACACACATAGAAATGTAGATCGAAACATATATATATATAGAGATACAGAGAGATAGCTAGGCATGTAGACACACACGCACACACTTATTTATACATACGTATATATATATATATATATATATATATATGGTTGTTCCGATGCTGTCCAGGGATGGGCGCGAAACGCATGCGAATCGTACATGTTGCAAAGTGTTTCGCGCGCTCGCGAAACGCATGCGAATCATACATATCGCAATGCGTTTCGCACGGTGCGCGCGCGAAGCGCACTCCCAGCGGGTGCAAGTCACGACGTGGCGCTGTGAGCACACTGGGGCAGTGCTGGCAGAACCAACATCAACAACTTTCGGCTCTCCGCTGCTCGGGCGCGCGCGACGGCTGCCTGTGGGGACTGCACTGGCTGTTTGGGCAGGGCAACGTCAACACGGTGGGGCGCGCGCGGTGCCGCCCGTCGGGGTGCAATGGCCATCGCCCAGGACCGCAGCCTGCCCAGGGGCGTCAGCAGGCAGCCCTCGGGCGCCGGGCGTGGGGGGCACCCCATCGTCGTGGCCGCGGCGGCCTTCCGCCGTTGCAGGTCTGCGTCGTCGAGGGCCGTCGGGCGGCACGCCGTCGCGGGTGCGGCGATGGCGGCGGCGGCGGCGGCAGCCTGGCACCGCGGCCTCGCACGAGTACCTCTCCGCCCTCGCGGCGCTCGATGAGACGGTGTGGGACGGGCTCAAAAGCACGCTCGCGCAGTCCGTCCGCGACAGGGTGGGCGCCGCCGCGGCGGTGGGCCTCCACCTCGTGCCGGCTTCTGGGAAGGACGCCTCTCAGCGGGTCGACAAGGCGCAGCGGGCCCTCGCGGCGGGCAAGCTGAGCATGGAGCGGGACACGGAGGCCGCCTTCAAGGCCATGGAGCGCCTCTCGGCGTCCCAGGCAGCGCTGGGCAGCCTCAAGGCGGAGCTCACCGCCGCCAAGGAGGAGGCGGCGCGAACTACGCCTCCCCCGCGGAGGCGTCCACGCCTCACTTCAGCCCGCTGGTCGACAATATCACCGAGCTGCAGACGAAGGCATCGACCTTGCAGCCGCACGACATCCTCTTGCAGCTCGTCGCGGAACTCGCCGCGTGCCGGCCTCAGTCCAGAGACCACCGAGGCCAGGGTCGCCAGGGCAGCCGACGACCCCACCGCTCCCGCCGCGGCGCCTCCCGTGGAGAAGCCCATGGGCTTGGCAGGTCCGAGCCCGCAGCCGATGCGGCCTTTTGGGTGTTCATGCAGTCGGATTGTCCTGCTGGCATTTGGGCTGGTGCTGGCTCCGAGGAGGATCGCAAGCGCCTGGCCGAGAGCTGGGAGCTGCTGCAGGGAACCTGGAAGAAACGCCTCGGGAACTCACATTTCCCGGCGTCTGGTTCTTAGCGGGCGCGTGTGGCGAGGCGTGTCGGTCAACGCGAAGGCTTATTCATCCCTCGAGGGTCAGCTCTCTCTATGAAGTCCGTGTGGGCGGCCGACTTCCTGGCCGTCCAGGAGACGCACCTCCCGGTGGCTAAGTCCAGCGGGGTCGAGTCCAGCCTCGAGCGAGTGGGCTGGCGTGCGCGGGCCACGGCCGCGCTGGGCACCGCGCCCGGGCGCCCCGGGCACGGCGGGCTGCTGTCGTTTGCGCCGCGCCGCCACGGGCTGGCGCCTTTCGAGGCCTTCGAAGACCTCGCGTCCGACAGCGCCCGTGTCTGCATCGTGCACCACTCAGGTCTCTGCGAGGGAGGCTTCGTGTGGGCCAACGTGTACCTGCGCTGCGGCATCGGCCTCGCCGCCGAGAGCCTCGGCCTCTTGGATCGCCTCGGGACCGCCTTGCAGGCCATCGGGAAGCCCTTCGAGGTTTCGGAGGACTTCAACATGCCACCCTCCGTCATCGAGCCGTCCCGGTTCCTGGCTCGCGTCGCCGGCCGCGTGAACGCCCATGTACGCGCGACCTGCCTCCGCCCGCCGGGTGCGCAGCAAAGCGCGGCTTCCGCCCACGGCGACGAAGGCGTCGGCAGCATCATCGACTGTTTCGTCGTGTCGGCCCACTCCCAGCGGGCGCGAGCTTGCAGCTTCTCGACACCGACGTCGACAATTAGAAGTTCCCTTATCCCTTCCCGAAGTGCTGCGCCACGCAGTGCTGCGCTTTCAGGTGGGCTGCGGTCAGAGACGCCATCGACGACGCGACCGACGCATCCACAGCCTGGCAGGCCTTCATCGAACAGGCGAAGTCCTACTTCTGCGACGTGGCGGGGCTCGACGTGGCCGACCGTGGCGGGCGTGGAGAGACGCCGACCACCCGCCAGGCGCGCGCGCGCACCCTCGCCGCCGCGCCTTCCGCGCGCGTCGACCGCCAGCCGTTGGCTGAAGGGGCTGGCCCTGGCCATTCGCGACGCGAGACCTCCGCGCGCTGCCGCGGCGCGACGGGCTGCGGGCGCTGAGCCGGCTGGCTCGCGCGGCCTCCGGTAGGCCGATGGGCAGTGGGCGAGGGGCGGATCCTGGCGGACATAGCCCCGCGCCTCTCCGCCCGCCCGCCCTGGGCCGCGCCCAGGAAGCAGCGAGCGCCGCTGCCGCCGCCGCCGTGAAGAGGGGCCACATGGAGGCAGCCGCGCGCTACTCCGATTGGCTGGACATGCGCATTGTGGGTCCGGGCGCGCTGGGCGCCTTCGCCAAGGTGCCGATCGGCTGGGGGCCCAGTTCTGTGGACGGCGCCCCGCGCGCCCGCGTGCTGCAGGTCACCGCCGTGGTCGTGGAGTGGGCCGGGCGTTGGAACATCGGGATACCCCGTCCTCCCCCGCTCGCCTGGCCTGTCGAGCTGGGCGAGCGGCCTCGAACATTCACGCCTGGCGACGACGTGCGCGAGGCCTGCAACGCGTTCATGGAAGGCGCGGGGGCCCGGCGCGACAGCTTGAACCCCCGCGACTTGGCAGTGCTAGACGACGACGGCCTTGAGGCCCCGATCGATATCCTCGATCGCGTCCAGATCAGCGGGGGCTGGCCAGCCTTCGCCACGAGGATGGCCTTCATCTCCAGAAGGGAGGGCGGGCTGCGGCCTATAGCGGCGATCGCGGCGCTCGCGCGGTTGCGCCCCCGTTGGCGGCGGCCGCTGGCGACGGCTCGGGAGATGGCGGTCGACGGGCCGCATTGGCGGGCCACTGCAGGAAGGGCTCGTCATTGAGCGGTCTGGCAACAGCAAGCCTGGGCCGAGCGGTCGGCGCTCGAGTGGGCCGGGGATCCGCGCGTCAGTAGCGAGTGCGCCACGCTCTTCGTGGACTTTTGGAAAGCGTGCGAGTAGCTGCATCATCAGGGCCTTGTGGGCGCGGCGGCCAAGCTCGGTTTCCCCTTGCGGCTGCCACGCGCGCAGTTAAGCTTGCACTGGTCTGCGCGCGCTCTCACCTTGGACGGCGCCTCGTCGGAGTCCACGGATGTCTTCGAACCGTCCTGGCTGGGCGCGGCTCGGCCCCTGCGCTGATGAGGCCCCATCTCCCGGGCGCGATCGACGGCGCACGGAGCGAGGCTCGCGCGGTCACCGCGGCCGCGGTGGTCGACGACATTGCGATGCAGCGTTTTGGCATTGAAGAGAAAGTCGCCGATGACCTCTGCGCCGCCTCCGGCACGCTGGCCCAGGGCTTGCGATGCCCGGGGGTCGCCATCTCCAGCAAGAAATCCAAGCGCCTTGCCGGCTCGACGCATCTCAGCTCGACCTCGGAGGCGCGACTGACCTTGTCAGCCGGAGCGGCGGCAGCCAAGGCAGCGCGGAACTTCGGCATTGACTTGTCGCAGCGTCGGCTGGCGCGACGGCCGGCCGGCGCGGGCCGAGCGACTGGCCCTGGCGTGGTTGCGAGAGCCGCGGCTGCGCGTGGTGCTGCATCGGGGCGAAGGGCGCGCCGCCGCCAGCCGCGTTGCCAAGGTCGGCTTCAAGGCGCCGTTCGCGCGCGGCTTCGGCGCCACGGGCATGGCCGACGCCGAGGCGCAGGAGGCGAGGGCCATCGCGTTCGCCGCCACCGAGGAGCGGCGGGAGGGCAAGAGTCGCACCATGTGCTTCTTGCTGTCCAAGGTGCGGGACTTGGATCCCTGTGCCTGGGCCACTATTGAGCCATTGCACGCCCTGCGCCGCGCGCTCGCCGATCAGCGGTTGCCCTTCCACGTCCTCGAACGGCTCTGGCAGCGGGCGCAGAGTGACATCAGCGCGCGTGGGGCCTGGAGCGAGGGCCCTGTGGGGCCGCCATCCCCACCCCTCGGCGCGCCTGTTGGACCTCGGCTTCCTTCGCCAGGTGGCGGAGCCCTGGCGGCGCCAACTGCGACCTCGCGGCGCCCCCCCCGTGGCGCGCCAAGAAGGTCGCGCGGGTGGCAGTGGAGCAGTGGCAGATTCGGCAGGTCGCCTGGGGCCAGCCGCATCTTCTCGCTGGGCTCGTTGTTCGGAAGCTGCGCAAATGGGCGCACGTCGGCAAGGGCACGCGCGACGACACTCAGAGACGGGCGCCTCTGCGCGCGAAGGAGAGGGGCTACCTGTGATCGCTGATGGTCCGTGGCAGTGGCCCAATCAGCGGCGACCCCGCAACTCGCCGCAGCGCGCCGCGACGGACGTGTGCGCGAGGTGCCAGGGGGGCAAAGACACCTCGCGGCACCGCCACACGGAGTGCCCCGCGCCGTGGGGCTGCGATCACCCCGCCGAACTGCACGCGTTACTCGACGGCGAGCATGACGTGCGCATCCGATACCTGGTCGAACGGGCCCTCTTCCCGAAGCTGCGCAGTTGGCAGCCGCCAATCGCGCGCGGCCTCGTCGGGGCAGTGAGGCGCGCGCGCTGGCACCTCGGCGACGGCGGTGAGCCCTGTCACAACGCCGACCTCTTCCTGGATGGCTCAGCGCTGGACGTCGCCCTGGGGTTCGGCATGGCAGGGCGCGCAGTCGTCGAACTGGCGCCAGGCGACGACGCCCGCGACCCAGGGGAGGGCAGTGCCGCGCGCGTGCTGGGCACGCCCCCCCTTGCTAGCACCGGTCGGTGGACGGAGCCGAGCTCCTCGCTGCGCGCGCGGCGCTGCGGCGCAGCCCGGCACCCATCGCCCTCCACGGCGACTCCGCTGTCGTCGTCGACTGCTCCAGCGGGCCCCCGCCGCGACGCGGCTATCTGCGCAGCATGGAGCCATCTCTGGGCCCTGATGCGCGGGGCGATCGAGGACCACGGCGGCATCGACGTTGAGGGGTCGCCGTCAAAAACATCAAGGCCCATGCCAGGCAGGCGGCAGCGGCCCGCAGCACGCTTTCTGGGAGGCAGCGCCGTGGGAACATCGACGCCGACCGGTGGGCCGAGGCCATCGCGGCCCAGTTCAGCCTCGCCGCGCGGGAGCGAGGCCTGGCGATAAGCGGGCAGCTGCTGTTCGACGGCGCGCGCGCTTGCTGGAGCACGCAGGCTCCGTGGCGGCCGCGGCGCGGGATGACGTCGACCACGGAGTGCGCGTCGCGCAGGCTCATGGGCCCAAGCTGGCCGTCTCTGCCCATGACCTGGCGAATGAAGGCGGCAGGTGGCGGCGCTCGAGGTGCCGCAAGGCGGCGGGCACAGAATGCTCCAAGCGGCAGTTGTTCGCTAGCCGTTGCTTCCCGCGGCCGGCGCCGATGGGCGCCGGAAGCGGCGGCCGTCGCAAGACCGATCCTCCGCTTCTGCTTGAGGCCGCCGGCTTGGCCGTCGCAGCGGCCGACGCGCAGGCGGACGAGAAGCGGGGCGAGGCGCGCAGCTCCGCGGGCGGCGGCGCTGGGAGCGGAAGTGCAGCGTCGGCCGGTCATGGCTCCAGCGCGGGCTTGGGCGACGGTGGCGCGGGCGTCTCTGCCCCCCTCGAGGCCGACGCGCCCACGGCGCAGGGCGCCGGCGGCCACGCTGGAGGCACGACCGCCTTCCATGGCGAGCAGAGGCCCCCATGGATCGCCGGGAGCAGCAGCTCGGGGCGCGACGTGCACCTGGTCGGAGGATGCCGGGCGTGCCTCCGCCGCTGCTGCCACGTCGCGGAGGAGGGCGGCAAGCTGCGGATGCTCGGCAATGTGTGCGCGGGCGCCCTGAGGCAGGGCGACAAGGCCCAGGAGGTTAGGAAGTGGCGACGCCGCGGCAGCGGGGCGCCTGGAGAGCCGGGCGGGGCTGAGCTGAGGGGGCCATGCGCAAAGGCATGCGGCGCGGCGCGCACAGGGCGACCGTAAAAAGAAAAGTGCGTAGACAGAACATACGCATGTGTAAATATTCATAGGTGTACATACATATCTACGTAGACAGGCAGACAGACCGACAGACAAGCAAACATACACACACATACAAATATACATACATATATATATATATATATATATCATATATACATATATATATATGTGTATAAGTACATATGCATATATATACATACATACACACACCTTTATAAACATACGTTGCGTATACATCTTGAGAATCAGACAAATACATGGATGGTTGTCCCAAATATATGATTATATCGATAGGTCGACATATAGATGGGGAGATGTGCGCGACAATCAGAAAGTTGAGGAAACCGCCAAGAACCCAGAGCCATCGCAAATCGCCCGCCTCCCCCTTCACCCCCCGTAGCCTCCTCATCACCCGTAGGGTTGTCCTATTGGTATCCTCATGTACCCATTATTCTCATGATTTCTCCGCCCCCCCTCTCCCCATGTCTCAAACATTTCATGCCATGTTTTCCTCCCCTCCATCCCTCCCTCCCTCCCTCTTTCTCCGCTGTATCTTCATCCTCCTCTCTGCCTGCCTCCCTCCCTCCACCCCTGTTTCCTACCTTCCCTTTTCCGCACCCGTTTCCGCCCCGTCCTCAGTCTCCTCTTCCTATTTCCGCCGCCTCAGTCGCACTCTCCCACCTCCCCGTTGCCCCCGCCCCGCCTTGCCCCCACCCCTTTGTTACTCCCTGGCACCCCCATGCACCCCCAACCTCCCTTCCCCTCATCCCCGCCTCCCTCCCTTGCCCCCCCTCCCCATTCCCCCCCTTCTCTCCCCCCTCTGCCCTCCCTCCTCTCCATTCCCCCCTCCCTCCCGCCCTTCCTCCCTCTCCCCTCCCTGCCTCCCTTCTCTTCCGGATGGCAGGCTCCCCTGCCCCCGTCGCCCTTTGGCGGCGGCCTGGCTGTCCGGTCAGGCTGCTGGAGGAGCAGCCGGTGACGCACTGCAAGATCAACGAGGCTGCGGTGGCCGAGCTGGTGGATGAGCCGCGGGGGGCGTTCGGTCTCGTCGCCGTCGGTCGTCGACGAAGAGGGGGGGGAGGGACGGGGCAAGGGTGGAGGAGCGGGAGGAGGAGGAGGAGGTGGGAGCAGGGAAGAGGGAGAGCAGGGAGGCAGGCGGAGGAGGAGGTAGGAGATTGTCCGGGGCGAGTGCGCCATATTATTTGAATTCTGTTTCCAGTCCACTTGTTGTTCGTGGCCAGACTTGCGTGCGCTCCCAAATTTCAGCGCTGCGTACGTGAGGCATGCATGCAGGTAGCCTTTGAAGATGTGGCGCAATGGTTTCGTATGAAAGTCATTAAGCCTGTCCTTGTGTGAAGGGTATGCACGATTCCAACACGCATATGGCACTGGGATTGCATGTTGCAGTTTGACGTCTTTGACCCCCAAGAGCGTATACTTGCCTTCAGCCCATCCCGCCACCATGCCTGTGTCGTGAACAAGCGGTATCTTGGCGCATCTGGGAGGTCCCTCGGGGCTTCTTCGACCATGCTTGGCCATCTTGAGACCTCGTAGGGCCATCTTGCGGCTTCCGATCGAAAGAAGAAAGGCGAGGACGCAGGGTTATGTGAAACACCTTGGCTTGCCTGGTGATTCCACTCAGAGAATCCCCGGGAGGCCCTGGGACCGCTTCGAGCCATCTGCCATCTTTGGGCCTCGTGGAGTCATGCTGGGGCCCCCGCTGAGCCGTCTTGGGAGACGTGACCCATCCTGCAAGCCAGCCTGGGCTATCTGAAGCCATCTTGGAGCCACCGTTCGTCCAGACCCTCGGGAAAGGGGGGTGGGGGAGATATCCTCCCCGAAAGGTAACGGGGGGGCTGGAAGAGAGGACCCCATCATCTGCCACCACCCATATGGCTGGTGGGATTTCGAGTGGTCGTCCATGCCTGTTGGCTTTGCCATTTTTCTGCCTCTGGGATGAGAGCGGCCGCCACGAAGGTATGATTGAGACTCCGGTCGACGAGCAGAGCCATATTTGTTCTCCAATGTTGAGCGGTTTGCGTGTCCCCAGCAGGGTGGCCGCAGCTTTGCGACGGCTGCTTTTTGGGGGGGGATTCTGCCAGTTGGAGTTTCGCATTCTTCTTGACTACCGATGCTCCGTGGATTGCTGGAGAGTTCGATAAATCGCTGGTCGATATCTCCGCGCCCAAAAATTGAAGGTCAATGATAGTCGCCATAGCCGCGCTTGGGGGCCGGTCTTGATGACGCAAAGGAGAAGGATTCTCTCTGATATGAATCGGGGATGTGCGCATGCAGCAATCAATAAGGTAAAGTCTGACCCCTTGCTTTGCAGGCCTGGCGAACGAGCGCTGAATCGGGTTTGTGCAGTGAGACGAAGGCCCACCCTGTCCCTCCACTTGCCTGTCCGCCTCCTCCTCCTCTGCCAATCTGCGCCCAGCGTGCGTGACTGCTGTTGGCCGTAGACCTTTGAGTCGTCGTCCGTGCTCTTTCGGCCCATGCGATGAAACCGATTGCCGCGGTGACGGGAAGTCCTGTTTTTTTAGCATTAGAGTTGAGGCTCCAGTCGTTGAGCAGAGCTTTGCTTGTTCTCCAAAGTTGAGCGGCTTGCGTGGGCGCAGCGTTGCGACGGCTATTCTTTTATGGGATTCTGCCAGTTGGCGTTTCGCATTCTTCTTGTCCACCGGTGTTTTGTGTTTCGTCGTTTGGTTCGATCAATCGCTGGTCGAATCTCTCTGCGCCCAAACCTTGAAGGCGCCAGCACACACGTTACTGATGTGTGGGGCAAGACTGCTGCTGTTCCAACAGACACTCGGGTAACACGATACCTTGGTGCAACCTACCGTATGCCCCGCCTGCACGCACACGCTTCTGCGGCGCAGTCTCAACGAGGGCTGTCCCAAGTTCATTGTTGCTGCAATCGCATGGCTGGTGGATGTAAGCATCGCCCTGCCACTTGAGGAGGTGGCAACAACGGTCTTGCTGAGCGCATGGGTCATGTCGATCTCCTGGGTGTCACCATTATGGACCTGGCTCCCGTCGACGAGCACCTGCGTGGCGAGGTCGGGGCAGCGGACCCTGAGCTGCGCCACCGCCTGGCTCGCCGCCAGCTTGAACAGGGCCGCCGGGCCCCCGGCTGGCAGGGGCTCCCAGAGGCGAAGGACTCCCACCAGCAAACTACTTCCGCTGGCCCTACAGCCGTCGATTCTGGGGCAAACAGCTAAAAGAGCGGCAGGCTGCCTGGCGCCGGAGGTGCCGCCCGTCCGGAGCGCCCGCTGAGAGGCACGCAGACTCCGGCGAGAGGGAGAGAGGGAAGGAGGAGGAGGAGGAGGAGGAGGAGGAGGAGGGGCAAAAAGAAAAAAGCATTGCGAACAAACGCCGAACAGGACTTCAGGAGGGAGGGGAGCGGCAGAGGCAGCGCAGAGCAAGCAGGAACGAGGGGGCGGACGGAGGAGGTCGTCGTCGTGGACGGGGGAGAGGGCGGTCGTGGTCAGGGCAGGGCGTCGGGGGCGTTGGTCGTCGGGGGCGGTCGTGGTCGTCGGGGAGGGTCGTGGTCGTCGGGGCGGTCGTGGTCAGGGCAGGGCGTCGGGGGCGTTGGTCGTCGGGGGCTGTCGTGGTCGTCGGGCCGCTAGTGGCCGTACTCCGCCGTGCTTGAGAGAGGTCTTGATGACACACCCTGTGAAGACATCTCTCACAGGTATCGCAAATGTAAGCGTCCACGCATGCAGGAACCAGTAGGGTACGGCCAGATCCTTGTTTTCCAGGCCTGGCGCACGAGCGCTGAATAGGGTTGTGCAGTGAGAAGAAGGCCCGCCCTGTCCCTCCACTTGCCTGTCCGCCTCCACTGCCAATCTGCGCCCAGCGTGCGTGACTGCTGTTGTCAGCTGACCTGTGAGTGGTCGTCCGAGCTCGTAGTGCTGTCTTACAGCCCATGCGATGAAAGCGACTACCGCGGTGATGGGAAGCCCTGTTGGCATTAGAGCTGATGCTCCGGTCGCCGAGCACAGCCGTACTTTTCCTCCAGTGCTGAGCGGCCCGCGTGCCCCTAGGAGGGTGGCCGCAGCGTTGCGACGGCTGCTCTCTTTTTGGGATTCTGCCAATTGCAGTTTCGCATTCCTCTTGTCCCCCGACGATATGTGGGTCGTCGGAGGGTTCGATCAATCGCTGGTCGAACCTCTCTGTGCCCAAACCTTGAAGACCGATGCTAGTCGCCGATACTCAGCCACGCTTGAGGGTCGGTCTTGAGAACGCATCTCTCTGAGATTCATCGCTCATGCGCGCATGCAGACAGCAGCAGGGTGAAATCTGATCCCTCGTTGTGCGGGCCTGGCGTACGAGCGCTGAATCGGGCGTGTGCAGTGTGACGAAGGCCCGCCATGTTCCTCCACTTGCCCGTCTGCCTCCTCCTCTGCGAATCTGCGCCCAGCGTGCGTGACTGCTGTCGGCCGTTGACCTGTGAGTGGTCGTCCGTGCTCCTTTTGCTTCCTCTCATCCCATGCGATGAATGCGATTGCCGCGGTGATGAGAAACCTTGTTGGCACCGCAGCTGAGGCTCCGGTCGTTGACCAGTACTTTCGCTGTTCCCCAATGATGGATGGCTTGCGTGCCCCAGGAGGGTGACCGCAGCGTTGCAACAGGCGCTCTCTTTCGGGAATTCTGCCAGTTGGAGTTCCGCTTTCTTCTCGTCCACTGATATTCTATGGGCCGTCGGATGGTTCGATCAATCGTTGGTCGAATCTCTCCGCGCCCAAACCTTGAAGGCCAATGCTAGTGGCCGTACTTCGCCGTGCTTGAGGGACGGTTTTGATGGTTTTCTCTGTGAAGGAATCTCTCTGATATTCATCGCGCATCTAGTAACCAGTAGGGTACAGTTTAGTCCTTCGTTTTGCAGGCCTGGCGCACGAGCGTTGACTCGGGTTTGTTCAGTGGGAAGAGTCCCCACCCTGTTACCCTGTCCCTCTACTTGCCTGTCTACCTCCTCCTCTGCCAATCTGCGCCCAGCGTGCGTGACTGCTGTTGGCGGTTGACCTGTGTTCGGTCGTCCGTCCACGTTTTGCCTCCTTTCGGCCCATGCGATGAAACCGATTGTTGTGGTGATGACACGCGTTGTTGGTACCAGAGCTGGGGCTCCGACGCTGAGTATAATCATTTTTTGATCTCCAATCTTAAGCGGCCTGCATCCCCCCCAGGAGGATGGCCACAGCGTTGCAACGGACAAGAAATCCCTCTGATAGTCATCGTTGATGTGCGCATGCAGGAATCAGTAGGGTAAAATCTCACCCCCTGTTTTGCAGGCCTGGCTTGTGCAGTGGAAAGAATCCCCACCCTGTCCCTCCACTTGCCTGTCTGCCTCCTCCTTCTCCTGTGCCAATATGCGCCAAGCATGCGTGACTGCTGTTGGCCGTTAGCATGTGTTCAGTCGTTCGTGCTCGTTTTGCTTTTATTCGGCCCATGCGATCAAGACGACTACCGCGCGTGTGAGAAACCTTGTTGGCACCAGAGCTGAGGCTCTGGTCGAACTGAGTAACATTTTTTCTCCAGTGTTGAACGGCCCGCGTGCCCCCAGGAGAGAGGCACGTTTTGTCCCATCGTTGGTTCTATTATATAGCTACACATATATATGTATATGTATCTATATATATGTATGTATATATATAAATGTATGTACGTATATATATATATATACATGTATATAAGCCCTTGTGATTTCACTGGGATGCATGGGATTTCTGGTGTGTGAATCCCACCAACCATGCGATTTCACAGGGATGCCTGGGATTCCTGGGACGCCATACTTCCGACAACATTTACTCAGGGGCCCCCTCAGGGCCGCGAATCCCAAGTTTCCCAGTGAATTCACAGGGTTCGCGTCGTCAGGGGGGCCCAGATTTCATTGAGATGCTTGGGATTTCTGGGGTGCGCATCTCAGACAACTCATGAGATGTAATGGGATGCTTGGGATGCCTTGATTTGTAATGGGATGCTTGGGATTCCTTGATTTGTAATGGGAAGCTTGGGATCCCTGGAATTTCTGGGGTTCAGAATTCTGGAGGCTCCAAGGTAGATTCTTGTCGGAGGGCGGGGACTCAGGCACCCTAGTGCCCAGTGAATTCATAGGGCGTCTTGGATGCATTCCCCAGAAATCCCAAACACCTTTGAAACAAAATTCAAGGTTTGGGCCCCCCCTGACGTGACGAACCTTGTGAATTCACTCGGATGATTGGGATTCGCGGCCCTGGGGGGGCACCTGGGTAGATGTTTCTCGGAGGTGGGAAATCAGAGGGATCTCAGGCATCCTTGTGAAAATATATGGCTTGTGGGATTCGCACCCCAGAAATCCCAAGCATCCCAATGGAACCATATGGTTCGGTGCCTCTTGGGCCCCGGAGGAGGCGGGCGGGGCTGGTCTCTGCTGCTCGCTGCTGGTCTCTGCTGGTCTCTGCTGCTCTCGGCTGCTCTCGGCTGCTCTCTGCTGCTCTCGGCTGCTGCCTGCTGCTTTCTGCTGCTCTCTGCGGCTCTCTGCGGCGTTCTGTTGGTCTATGTTGCTTTCTGCGGCTCGCTGCTGCTTCCTGCTGCTCTCTGTTGCTCCTTGCTGCTGCTCCTTGCTGCTCTCGGCCGCTCGTTGCTGCTCTGTGCGGCTCCCTTCTGCTCTTTGGTGCTCTCTGCTGGTCGCTGCTGCTCTCGGCTGCTCTCGGCTGCTCTCTGCTGCTCGCAGCTGCTCGCAGCTGCTGCCTGCTGCTTTCTGCTGCTCTCTGCGGCTCTCTGCGGCTTTCTGTTGGTCTATGTTGCTTTCTGCGGCTCGCTGCTGCTCCCTGCTGCTCTCTGCTGTTCCTTGCTGCTCTCGGCCGCTCTTTGCTGCTCCCTGCTGCTCTCTGCTGCTCTTTGCTGCTCTCTGCGGCTCCCTGCTGCTCTTTGGTGCTCTCTGCTGCTCCCTGCTGCTCTCTGCTGCTTTCTGCTGCTCCCTGCTGCTCCCTGCTGCTCTCTGCTTGTGTCTTCTGGTCTCTACTGCTCTCAGTGCCTCTCTGCTGCGCTCTGCTTGTCTCCGATTGTCCCAGCTGCTCTCTGCCAGTCTCTACTGGTTCTTGCTGCTCTGGGGGGAGGAAGTATGAAGGATAACCAGATGTGAACCGAGGAATAAACATTGGAGGAAGGATGCAGAGGAAGGGCGAACGAGCGGGGACGGATGCAGAGAGGGAGGACCACCAGTGAGGGTAGGGATGCACGCCTCATCGACTGAACGACTGATGCAACATCAGTGCGTGCTTGGAGGGGGGCTGCGCATATAGGTATATTCATTCGCGCCCAACGTTTGAGGCTGGTGCTCGTCAGTGAAACAGCTCAGAAGGAGGGATGAGACTTTGTGTATGGAGTTGTTCTCTCCCTTTTAGACTGCCTCGTTTCTTCTACGCCTCCCAGTCGTATCCCACTCGTACATCTGTGCATGGCCACCTCTCATCGATTCCCTCTTCAAGCTGGCTTGGCGAGTTCACGATCGAAACTCATTCCTACCACACCGAGGAGCTCCTGGCTGACAAGGACACGAACATCCAGTGGCTACCCGATGTCATCGAGAGCCAGATTTATCAAGGCGCCGCGTGGGAGCACGAGGAGCAAGAGGAGGCGGAGGCAGGCAGGGAACCCAGTTCGCTGCTCGGTGTTTGAACCAGGCAGTTTGGAGCTTCGCAAGCCAGCTGGATTGAGACAGCGAGGACGTCCACGGGAGACAATGGGACACCTTGTCTTACGAAATTGTCTGGAAGTTGCCAGTTCCTGCGGTCGCTCGGCTGACTATTTCCGCCCTTCGGCCGGTGCAGTGCGCGATTGGGAGCTGGTAGTAACGGCTTGGAGCGGTTGCTGAAGGCAATTGGCGACGTCCTTATTATATATATTTTACTTGCTTACGCGCCGGCTGGTGCAAGGCACACTCGCTCTCTCGCTCGCTCGCTTGGAGCGTCGGGAAACAGAAAAGGCGAGAACACCAAATCGTTGTGAACACATACGGACAATTAATGCGTTGTGCCTCATTGGCGCCACTTGGAGCCTCTTGGGAGCCTCCTTGGCCGCTTAGGTCATCTTTGGCGCCTGGGAGCGATCATGGGTCGATTTGGGGCCCTCTTGGACCATCGGGGCGACCTCCTGGTGTTTTCTTGGCCCGTTGGGGGGCCCTCCTGGCTCCCAGAAGTCGCACGCGACACAGCCCAGGAGCTCCTGGGCGGTCCCGGACAGTCTCAGGAGCGCCCAGGAATCACGGTGAGATCCTTACAAACCCTCTGTTGGTTGCATGAGCCTTGGAGCACTCCACTTCGTGCCAGAGGCACGGTGGACAGCTAATGTGAGCGGCCTCGAGGCGAGAGCCACATCTTGAAAACCACCTGCCCTCCATCCTTGTTGCCGTCGGAAACTGTTAAAACGAATGCTTGCTGTTCTGATGCGAGAGTTCCGTGTTGGAAGCGGCCAGCCTCCATCGTAATTGGTTGTTTTTTGTTCACCCTTGGGGTAGCAAGTTGAAATGATGTCTGAAGCGTGACGCGTGCCAGCCTTCGGACACTTTTGGTGGTGCGAGCGATAGGGGGAATCATTTATGAGGAAGGGGGATGGACGAGGAAACCTCCTTTCGTAAGTTTTGTTCCCGCCTCAGGCGTTGACCACATGAGGTCCCGTAGTATCCCAGGCGGCACGCAATGTAACAGAGACTCGGAGGCATTTCTGTAACAACACGTCCCCAAACCTCTTCCCCTTGATCCGATAGGGTCAAGGTCAAGACTTAGCAGCCTTCTAGTTACTTGGCATGCCATCCAACGCTAAGCCGATGACGCCAGAGGGCCAGCGCACGAGAGGCAGGACAGCACGGCGGGACATGGAGCGGCGAGCAGCGAGAGCGCAAGCGCCGGCACGGCCTCCACGGAAGCTGCGCCTCGCGAGCTGCTTGTGTGAGAGCGACCTCCTTCTCGAGGGTCGAGGGCAGAGCGTGGCATCCCCGTCCTCGTCCTTCCCGTTGTCGAGCACTTTGGAGTTCGAGGTGAGGTCTTCCCTCGCCAGGAGCGCGTGTTCGCAATCGAAGCATGCGGCACGCCCGGCGACCGCGGGGGGGAGGCGTCATGCGGCTCATGATCCGGATCGCAGAGCACGTCGTATGCCGGCTGCGGCTGAACTTCTTGGGGCGGGAGATCCACATGTCGATCCTCTCCTCGAGCGACCTCAGGACCTCCTCTTCCCCCTCCTCCTCTTCGCTCCTCGTTCGTTTTTTAGCTCTGTGGGCCCTCATCGTTGCCACCATTGCGCGCGCTTCGAGACATGGCCAGGATAGATCCCTGACCAATTATGAGGGGATGTTGCCCAATTTCATGAGTTGATAGCCGGCACCCATAATTACCTGTGCGGCCCGCAGATTTCTGGACACGAAATTCCATTGGCGTGTGTGTGTGTGTGTATTTGTTGTCGGGTGGGGACCCCCCCCCCTCGATCGGGCCCCCCCCCCCCTCGGGGTCTGACAACTCGCGCCCACACCCACAGCGCCTTCATCGCCCTGCCCTTCCCCGTTCCTCTTCCCTCTAGCTTTGGGCGTGTGCTGCTCTTTCATCGCGCACGGCCCCGCCTCGACGGGCCAAGAAGCCGCAGGGGCACACGTTCCGGGAGGTCCGCGCTGCTTCCTTCGCCTCCCGCGGTCTGCGCCTCCGACTCCTGCCCCCCCGCGCGATCCGTGCGCTGGGGAAGCGCCTATGTGGCCGAACGTTGAGGCCAGACCTGCCAAGCTATCGGACCATGTGTTCCCCGAATCGGTTTGGAAAGCCTTCGGGGAACACGTGGGCATTTTGAAGGTCATCTTGGCCGTCTTGGAGGGCTCTTGGGCGATCTTTCGGCGATCTTTGGGGGCTCTTGGGCCGTCTCGGGCCGTCGGAAGAGCGAAAAGAAGGAAATGTTAAAATCCGTCAAAAACCTATGGACAATATATGTTTTGGGCCTCTTCTGGCCTTCCTGGAGGCCCTCTTGGGGGCCTCTTGGGCCGTCTTGGGCCAGCTTCGAGCCAACTTCGGCCATCTTGTTGGGTTCCTGGCACGTCTGACGCCGTCGGGAGCCGCCTTGGGTGCCTTTCTGGGCCAACGGGGGACCCTCTTGGGGCGCTTCGGGGCCGTCTTGGAGGCCATCTTGGGCGTCTTGGAGACCATCTTGGGCGTGTTGGAGGCCTCTTGGGCCGTCTTGGGGCCCTCTTGGGGCCATCTCGGAGGCCACTTGGGCCGTCATGGGGCCCTCTTGGGGGCCTCTTGGGCGATCTTGGGGGCCTCTTGGGCCGTCTTGAGCCGTAGGAATGCCGAGAAGAAGCAAATTCCAAAATCCTTCAAAAACCTAAGGAGAATCAATGATTTTGGCCTCTTCGGCCTCTTGGGCCGTCTGGGAGGCCTCTGGGGGGCCTCTTGGGCCGTCTTGGAGTCCGTCTTGGACCATCTTGGGCGGACTTGGAGGCCATCTTGGGCCATCTTAGGCCATCTTCGCGATTTTGTTGAAGATGTCCCGAGCGAAACGGCCGTTTCAGGGACGAATGTTCGTGGAGTTTGCGCTCCTGGGCAATCCTCCCGGGACCCCGGCGGGACGGGCCGAAACCCATTGGGAGAGTTCTTTTGGAAAAAGAACCAAAACCAACACCGAAATGATCCAGCACGCCAGGCACCCCTGCGACGAATCGACATGGGGCGGCGGATCGAAGACGCCTACGGCGAATCACCGCCGCCCCCTGCCTTTTTGGAAGCGCCTATGTGGCCGAACGTTGAGGCCAGACCTGCCAAGCTATCGGACCATGTGTTCCCCGAATCGGTTTGGAAAGCCTTCGGGGAACACGTGGGCATTTTGAAGGTCATCTTGGCCGTCTTGGAGGGCTCTTGGGCGATCTTTCGGCGATCTTTGGGGGCTCTTGGGCCGTCTCGGGCCGTCGGAAGGCCGCAAAGAAGGAAATCTCAAATTCCATCAAAAACCTTAGGACAATATATGTTTTGGGCCTCTTCTGGCCTTCCTGGAGGCCCTCTTGGGGGCCTATTGGGCCGTCTTGGGCCAGCTTCGAGCCAACTTCGGCCATCTTGGTGGGTTCCTGGCACGTCTGACGCCGTCGGGAGCCGCCTTGGGTGCCTTTCTGGGCCAACGGGGGACCCTCTTGGGGCGCTTCGGGGCCGTCTTGGAGGCCATCTTGGGCGTCTTGGAGACCATCTTGGGCGTGTTGGAGGCCGTCATGGGGCCCCTTGGGGGCCTCTTGGGCGATCTTGGGGGCCTCTGGGACCGTCTTGAGCCGTAGGAATGCCGAGAAGAAGCAAATTCCAAAATCCTTCAAAAACCTAAGGAACATCAGTGATTTTGGCCTCTTCGGGCCCTCCTGGAGGACTTCTTGGAGGCCTCTTGGGCCGTCTGGGAGGCCTCTGGGGGGCCTCTTGGGCCGTCTTGGGCAGTCTTGGACTCTCTTGGGCCGTCTTGGAGGCCGTCTTGGACCATCTTGGGCGGACTTGGAGGCCATCTTGGGCCAGCTTCGCGATTTTGTTGAAGATGTCCCGAGCGAAACGGCCGTTTCAGGGACGAATGTTCGTGGAGTTTGCGCTCCTGGGCAATCCTCCCGGGACCCCGGCGGGACGGGCCGAAACCCATTGGGAGAGTTCTTTTGGAAAAAGAACCAAAACCAACACCGAAATGATCCAGCACGCCAGGCACCCCTGCGACGAATCGACATGGGGCGGCGGATCGAAGACGCCTACGGCGAATCACCGCCGCCCCCTGCCTTTGTGGAAGCGCCTATGTGGCCGAACGTTGAGGCCAGACCTGCCAAGCTATCGGACCATGTGTTCCCCGAATCGGTTTGGAAAGCCTTCGGGGAACACGTGGGCATCTTGAAGGTCATCTTGGCCGTCTGGAGGCAATTTTGACTCTTTTCTGGCCTTCTTGGAGGACGTCTTGGAGGGCTCGTGGACCGTGTTGGAGGCCATCTTGAGCGTCTTGGAGACCTCTTGGGCCGTCTTGGGGGCCTCTTGGGGCCGTGTCTTGGGCCTCTTGGGCGATCTTTGGGTGCATTTGGGCCGTCTCGGGCCGTCGGAAGGCAGAAAATAGACAAATCCCACAATCCTTCAAAAACCCATTGGAAAATACATTAGCCTGGCGAAGGACCCAACCATATGCAGCTGCGAGCACCGCACGGATATGAGACGAAGGAGGGGGCACGCAAACTAGGCCCCTCTTCTCATAGGCACCGCGCCACTGCATGGACGAGGCACAGGGCAGCGAGGGCAGGAGGTGGCGGGCGGAGGAGGAGAGCTCACTGGGGCGAGCCAACACATCAGTATCATCATCGCATCATGAGACCTGTTACTGGGCACGCAGGAAGAGGTGGCGGAGACACCGTGTAGATGTCGAAGGCAGGAAACGACTTCCACAACCCATTCTCCACGGATTACCCCAACGGTTCCAGCCACCCGATAGCCACCCAGACGTGTCGACGCATGTGTCACCAGAGTTTCAAACTCCCCCCGACCTTCGGTGGAGATCCCGATGGGGCCACGAAACGTGTGGGGGGGGTTCCGACATGGGTGTTGGGGGGTGCCGAAATGGGTGGTGGGGAGGCATGCGAACCCTGCCACTGGGGCCTTCGGTGGAGCTCCCTATGGGGCCACGAAGCGTGTGAGGGGTGTGCCGAGATGGGTGGTGGGGAGGCATGCGGACCCTGCCACTGGGGCCTTCGGTGGAGCTCCTTATGGGGCCACGAAGCGTGTGACGGGTGTGCCGAAATGGGTGGTGGGGAGGCATGCGGACCCTGCCACTGGGGCCTTCGGTGGAGCTCCCTATGGGGCCACGAAACGTGTGAGGGGTGTGCCGAAATGGGTGGTGGGGAGGCATGCGTGCCACTGGGGCCTTCGGTGGAGCTCCCTATGGGGCCACGAAACGTGTGAGGGGTGTGCCGAATGGGTGGTGGGGAGGCATGCGAACCCTGCCACTGGGGCCTTCGGTGGAGCTCCCTATGGGGCCACGAAGCGTGTGAGGGGTGTGCCGAAATGGGTGGTGGGGAGGCAGCGGGCCACTGGGGCCTTCGGGGTGTGAGGGGTGTGCCGACCCATGCGACTGGGGCCTTCGGTGGAGCTCCCTATGGGGCCACGAAACGTGTGAGGGGTGTGCCGAAATGGGTGGTGGGGAGGCATGCGGACCAGCCACTGGGGCCTTCGGTGGAGCTCCCTATGGGGCCACGAAACGTGTGAGGGGTGTGCCGAAATGGGTGGTGGGGATGCATGCGGACCCTGCCACTGGGGCCTTCGGTGGAGCTCCCTATGGGGCCACGAAGCGTATGAGGGGTGTGCCGAAATGGGCGTGGGTGACGATGATGATGACGATGATGATGATGATGATGATGATGATGATGATGATGATGATGATGACGATGATGGTGATGATGACGACGACGACGACGACCACGACGACGACGACGACGATGATGATGATGATGATGATGATAGTGACGATGGGAAGAGGGAGGAGGGGGAGGAGGAGGAGGAGAGGAACGCGGGGCACCGTCTCTTCAAAACGAGGACCCCACACCACAGGATGGTTGGGAATGATTTTGGCCTTTTTCGGGCCTTCTTGGAGGCCCTCTTGGAGGCCTCTTGGGCCGTCTTGGGCCATCTTAGGGCCATAATCGGCCGTCTTGGTGGGCTCCTGGTCCGCCTGACGCCGTCAGAAGCCGTTTAGGGGGCCTCTATGGGCCGACTTGGGGCCCTCTTGGAATGCTCCAGGGCCGTCTTGGAGACCATATTGGGCGTCTTAAAGGCCTCCTGTGCCGTCTTGGGGGCCTCTTGGGGCCGTCTTGGGGCCCTCTTGGGCCGTTCTGGGGCCATTTTGGAGGCCTCTTGGGCGATGTTTCGGCGATCTGTGGGGGCTCTTGGGCCGTCTCGGGCCGTCGGAAGGCCGAAAAGAAGGAAATCTCAAATTGCAGCATCCTTCAACAATCTAGGAAAGACAAATGATTTCGGCCTCTTCTGGCCTTCCTGGAGGCCCTCTTGGGGGCCTCTTGGGCCGTCTCGGGCCAGCTTCGAGCCAACTTCGGCCATCTTGGTGGGTTCCTGGCACGTCTGACGCCGTCGGGAGCCGTCTTGGGGGCCTTTCCAGGACGACTGGGCGCCCTCTTGGGTCACCTCGGGGCCGTCTTGGAAGACATCTTGGGCGTCTTGGAGGCCATCTTGGCCGTGTTGAAGGCCTCTTGGGCCATCTTGGGGCCCTCTTGGAGCCGTCTTGGAGGCCATTTGGGCCGTCATGGGGCCCTCTTGGGGGCCTCTTGGGCGATCTTGGGGGCCTCTTGGGCCGTCTTGAGCCGTCGGAATGCCGAGAAGAAACATATTCCAACATCCTTCAACAATCTAGGAAAAACCCAATGATTTCGGCCTCTTCGGGCCTTCCTGGAGGACCTCTTGGAGGCCTCTTGGGCCGTCTGGGAGGCCTCTGGGGGGCCTCTTGGGCCGTCTTGGGCAGTCTTGGACTCTCTTGGGCCGTCTTGGAGGCCGTCTTGGACCATCTTGGGCGGACTTGGAGGCCATCTTGGGCCATCTTCGCGATTTGTTGAGGATGTCCCGAGCGAAACGGCAGTTTCAGGCATTGACTGATGCGGTTTCCCGGTGGCCGGCGGGACGTGCCGGAGCTCCAGGGGGAGTTCTTTCGGAAAAAGAATTAAAACCAAATTCTTCTCGACGGTTTAGTACGCCAGGCACCCCTGCGATGAATCGACAGGGGGCGGCGGATCGAAGACGCCTACGGCGAATCACCGCCGCCCCCTGCCTTTTTGGAAACGCCGATGTGGCCGAAAGTTGGACTAGAGCTTGGCCAAGCTATCGGACCATGAGTTCCCCGAGTCGGTTTGGAAAGCTTTCGGGGAACACATGGGAGAGAATGATTATGAACAGGAAGAGGAAGAGGAAGAAATAGAGTAGGAGGATGAGGGTTGTTAGGAGTCTCTTGGGGCACCCTTGGGGTCTGTTGGGGGCTTCTTGGGGGCCTCTTCGAGGCCTCTTGGAGGCATCTTGGGGGCCTCCTTGGGCCTCTTGGGGGCCTTTGGGGGCTTCCTGGGGGTCTCTTTGGCCGTCTTAGGGCGTTCCTGGTCCGTCTGACGCCGTCTGGAGCCGTCTTGGGGGCCTCTCTGGGCCGTCTTGGGGCCCTCTTGGGGCGCTTCAGGGCCGTCTTGGAGGCCATGTTGGGCGTCTTGGAGGCCTCTTGGGCCGTCTTGGGGCGCTCTTGGGGCCGTCTTGGGGGGCCCTTGGGCCGTCATAGGGCCTTCTTGGAGGCCTCTTGGGCGATCTTGGGGGCCTCTTGGGCCGTCGGAAGGCCGAAAAGAAGAAAACGCAAAAAACCTTCAAAAACCTAAGGAAAACCAATGATTTTGGCCTCTTCGGGCTCTCCTGGAGAACGTCTTGGAGGCCTCTTGGGCCATCTTGGAGGCATCTTGGGGCCATCTTGGCCGTCTTGGAGGGCATCTTGGGCCGTCTTGGAGGCATCTTGGAGCCATCTTAGCCGTCTTAGAGACCATCCTGGCCGTCTTAGAGGCATCTTGGAGGCCATCTTGGAACCGTCTGGGGCAGGAAATTGGGGAATTGAGCTCCTGGGCATCCTTTCCGGGTGGCCGGCGGGACGGGCCGAAGCCCACTGGGGAGTTCTTTTCGAAAAAGAACCAAAACCAAAACCTGAAACGTCCAGCACGCCGTGCACCCCTGCAAGCAGGGGGCGGCGGATCCTAGAGGCCTTCGGCCCATACCGCCACCGTGCCTGGGTTGTGGGTCTAAAGCATCTTGTATATGTGATGGGGTGTCGTGGGCAGCCTCTCGGCGGCCTCATGGAGGCGGTTTGGGCGCCTCTTGGGGCCTCTTGGCGGCCTCTTGGGGCCTCCTGGGGGCTTGCGAGCACTGGCTAGTTACAAGGGTGTGGTGCCTCGGGGACGCGAATATTCAATAGTTGATTAGGGTATTGTTGCCTCGGGGACGTAACAATTACGTCATTTACGAGGGTTCGTGGCCTCGGGGACGCGATTCTCGCGTCATTTACGAGGGAGTAAGGCCTTGCGGACGCGAGTATCATATATTTTTACGTGTCCCAGGCCCCCCAACGATTTCAGATAACGCGATCCGGGCGTGGTCACCAGGTGGTTTGCGGCTCCCCCCCGTTGCGCCGATTTCAACCGTTTACAGTAGGAAGCAGAAAGCAGGTTTATAACATTGGATATTTGAAACTGCAACTGTCGCAGGGAGCAGCAACTTCGCCCTACAGCTTGGTGGCCTCACAAGGAGGCGGGCGGATGTGCTCTGCCCACTCCTGCGTTGCTACGTGGCGAGCAGAGTATAACAGTAAGTGTTTCCGCTCTTCTGCGACACCTTCCTAGCGGGGCCACCCCTGGCGAGAAGGTCCATGATTTTTCCCTGAAGCACAGATTGGAGATGTTTCGGGCGGACTGCCAGAAAACAGCGAAACGACGCTGCCACGCATACCTTCCTCTTCCCCATTTGGCCGTGCTGGTGTTGGCGCCGTCTTTCCCTACTCCTGTCCTCGTTTCCTCTTCGCCCACCCCCATCTGGATGCAGCGGGAGGAGGAGCAGGGCGTGGGAGCAGGACGCAAGGGGGAGGCGAGAGGAGAAGGAGGAGGAGGAGGAAAAGGAGGAGGAGGAGGAGGAGGAGGAGGGAAAAGGAGGAGGAGGAGGACCCACGCGCGGTCCCAATCCGCACACGCACGCCCGCCGCCGCAGTCAGCATCCCCATCCCGCCTCCCCCCCGTGATGCCATCCGCTCCGCTGTCTGGTTGTTTTTTTCTCTCTCTTCGCCTCTTGGTTGTGTTCGATCCCCCCCCAGCACAGGCTTGGAGGAGGGCCACCAAAGGCATCGGGGGCATCACATCGCTCGGCATGGGTCAGCTCGAAGCTCGAAGGGGGGGGGCGGGGGGGGGCAGGGAGGAGCGGGGGGAGGCAAGGAGGAGGCGGGAGGAGGGCGCGGGAGCGGGGACGCCCGAGGCGGGACGCCGCAGCGTCCTCCCCCGCGCGCGAAACCACGCCAGGGCGCCCCGCGAGCGCCTCGCGTCGCAGCAGTCCAAGGAGGCCACGCTCTACTTCGAGGAGCCCGGCGCGCTCCTCCTCCTTCTGGGCTCACGTGGCGGGGGTCAGCGCCAACGGGGGTCAGTCCATCCCAGCTGGCTGGCGCAGGTTTGGGAGCCACGTGGGGCCGCGTCCCCAGCTCCGTCATCCGCTGACCCTGGCCTGGCAGCTGCTCGGCGACAAGCCAGGCCTCGCGAGAGGGCCCTGGCCGGTCCTGATTTGGGCTGACCAGGGTTAGTGCGTCCTCGACGCCCCCTCGTCCCCCTCTTGCTTGCAAGGCGGGCTCCCCTACAGAAGCATGAGCGTCACAGGTCCAGCACACGGAGTGTTGCTCTGCAATTTTCTGGGAGTTCAGGAGTTCGTCATGGATCATATGTGTTCTTGTTTTGTCTTGTCCTCCACCGTCGATCGGGTCGTCTTCTTTTTCTTCGCCCTCTCATCTTCCTGCCTCTCCCTCGCCCCGTCCTTCTGCATTTCCTTTTCCGCCTCCTCCCTTTCTCCTCCTCCTCTTTCCTTCCTCCTCCCTCTCCTCCTCTGATCCTTCATCCTCCCTCATCCTCCTTGTTCTCATCCTCATGTCTTTCCTCCTCGATCGAGGAGGAGGGGGAGGAGGAGGAGGAGGAGGAGGAGGAGGAGGAGGGAAGCAGATTACGAGGGAGAGATCCGCCTCGCCTAGGCTTTCGGTGACCGCCCCTGTCGCCACGGCCAGACGCTGGTCGAAAGACTGATCAGGAAGGTCATCAGTAGAGGTCTGAGCATCCATTTTGTTCTCATGCTGCAGATGTCTTGCCGGGGGTTGGTACGGCCGTGACATCTGGGCGTCGTGAACAGATCTTCGCGATAGGCGGTTTTGCTAATGTTGGGCCATGGCGTTCCGCAGAACAGCTTGGTCGGGAGCTCTGGTCGTATGTCTCCCCTCGACGTAAGGCTTTGTCACATCGTCGGATATATTGTGGAATCGAGGCGTCACCATTTGTTTCGGGTAATCCATCCGTGTCTACAGTAAGCGATCAGACAAGACACCGGCCTGCGACTATGTGCCCCGCTGACGTCCTTATACCCCGACGGCCGCATGGACCCACAGAAACTCTGGGCACATTAATTAGGACCCTCAAAGTTTGACGACAACGTGTGCCCCAATATTTCTTGGAGCTATATGTTTTCAAATGTGTCTAGTTTATAGGTCTGTGTCTTTACACCGGGAATGTATGTTTGTTCGGGCGTGCATATGGTTCTGGCGATTCACCCGTTGAGGCCCCACAACTGTTCTCGTGCAAGTCACGCGGCCGTGCTGTGTGCTCGATGTCGCAGTTCCCTCGTTGTTTCAGATCTTTGTCGCGGGGTTCCGTCTGCACGAGACGAGCAAGATAAGATGGACACTGTGAAAAAGATGGATGAGGAACCCGCGTTCGCAACGCTCTTGAACAATATGCTTTCTTTTCCAGAGAAAAAAGAACGAGTTTAGGAAAACGAGTTTAGGTAAAAGCACGTCCTGCCTCTCGGTATGCTCATCTCGGCAATGAGATCCTGAACCGTCGGGTTCAGGATGCAGCCGATCAGGAGTATAAGAAGCAACGGATTCAGCATGCGCTGGCTGACGGCTCCCAGAGTGTACCAACCTCTATTCTTGCCTCGGCTCAGCTTGTTAAGGTGACAGCTCCTGGAGTGTTCGCGAGTTTTCTGTTTCAAGCTGCCCATCACGTTTGTGCACGGTCTTTGTCAAGGCAACCCTCGTTGCCTCGGCAGCACGAAGGTCGCCAGGCGCCGCTCCAGCATTCAATTCGCAGGACTGCTGGCGACTGGCGCGCGTGCCCCACGGCGATGCTCGATATGTGCACTGGCCAGCGGCTCCCGGGGCAGGGCAACCGGGATGTGCATCCACTTGCTGCAGGCCCCGCCAGTAGGGGTCAGGGATTCTTGCCCGACGTTGAAGTTTGCTCCGCGGCACTTTTGGCGGCGCCTTTGCCGACGCCACGCTATTCATCAGGGGCAACGTTGGGTGGGGGAGTTGGTTCAGAGGGGTGACGCATCGACCCTCAGTCGCTTTTTTACCGCGGATGAGGGAGGGCCCGATAGCTCACCCTGCCCAGGAGCGTGAGGTTTCGCTGTCGGGTGCCTATCGCCGATCTGTCGAATCTCGGGCCTCCGCAATTCAGTTTTTATGCCATGATTGGTTCCCCGAGTCAGGGGGGGGGGGGATAGGCGCAGGGGCGAGCGCCCATCGCCCAGTCAGAGCTGACAGGGGCCCGATAGCCCACCCCGCCAGGATTCGCTTTCGGGGCCCCGTCGCCGACTTGCCTTCCCCCCCTGGTCCAGTCGCCCCCTCTCGACCCCCCTCACGATTTGGAGTTCATCGCCCGATGTTCTCCGGGGTTCTGAGGTCAATGGTAACGTCACCGGGGAGGTCTTCATAGTAGGGGTGGACCTAAACGGTGTTTCGGCGATTTCGGGGGCCCTTTTCGTTGCGATTTCGTTTTGCGTTAAAGGCGGATTGAAGACAAAACGATGGAAAACGAACACAAAACGAAAACGAACAACACCGTTTAGGTTCAGCCCTGTTTCATAGTTGGTTTCCCGCCGGTTGGTAACATTTGCCCACCGGATACCGTTTCATCAAATCAGAGGTTCCCAGGACCGCCATTTCCCCAGGTGTCTTTCTGACGGACTCTAATTTTCGGCGCGGTCGATCTATGCAGGAGTCCGTTGCAGCGCCAGAGCCGCTCTTCAATCAGTTGCCACAAAGTATTGCCATCGCAGCCAGGTCCAGACAGGAACTGACCTCCAAGAGAGTATCCGTCGGTGGATGGGGGGGGGACGAGGAGGAGGAGGAGGAGGAGGAGGAGTTCGTAGAGCGAGGCGCTTCGTGACCCTCTCCGTGACTCAGGCGGGATCGCCCAAGCCCGATGTCGCATTCGAGCCAACCACCAAGGCCGTTCGCGTTGAGGGGGAAGGCTCGGCTGGAGCGTGTTTCCTTCTTGCATGAGCTATAACGCGCGTCATTGCCCCCGGTCCCCCCCCCCCACACCGTAACCGTAACGCCCCCCCCCCCCCCCCCCAAGTGCACCCCCCACACTGCCGCCGTTCGCATAGGGATCCGCATAGGTAGCCGAATAGGATCCCACATAGACATGCGCATAGAAATCCGCATAGGGATCCGCCCGCATGGGGATCGCATAGGGATATCCATCGGGATCCGATCCGCATTGGGATTCCCATAAGGATCCGCATACGGATCTGCACAAGGGGTCCGTATAGAGATCCGCTTAGGAAGTTGCAGAGGGATCCGCATACGGATCCACACGGATCCACATGGCAATTCGCATAGGGATTTGCATACGGATCCGCGCAGGGATCTCTTTGGGAAACCGCATAAGGGGTCCGCATAGGTATCCCAATTGCATGGGGATCCGCACAGGCATCTGCATATGGATCCACATAGGGATCCCAAAAGGGATCCGGATAGGGATCCGCGGTGGTCGCGGGCAAGTTGCGGTGCTCTCAGGCATTTGTGGTGTTCGCAAGAGAAACAGCAAGAGGAGGAGAAGGACGGCCTCCACGATAACGGAGGAGGAGGGAAGGAGCATACCTCTTATACGCCACGTGGAGGCAGCGACGCCTTCGAAGGCATGTGCGCGCCACAATTCGTCTCTTGCAATCGTCGCTCGTCGTCGTCGTCGTCACTTTCGTCGTCGTCGTCGCCGCTCGCTGTCTGTCGTCGTTGTCGAACGCCATCGAAGGCCTCCGAGGGCCTCTGGAGGCCTTCGGAGGCGCTCAGAGGACCTCCAGAGAGCCTTTGGAGGCCTCAGGAGGCTTCCGGAGAACTCCAGAGGCGTCGCTCGTCGTCGTCGCCGTCGCCGTTGCCGTCGCCGTCGTCGTCGTCGCTTGTCGTCGTCGCTTGTCGCTTGTCGTCGTCGTCGTCGTCCGTCGTCGTGGTCGTCGTCGTCGTCGTCGGTCATCGTGGTCTCCGTCGGTCGTAGTCGTCGTCATCGTCGTCGTCGTCCGTCGTCGTCGTTCGTCGTTGTCGTCGTCGTTGTCGTCTTCGCCGCCGTCGTCGTCGTCGTCGTCGTCGTCGCTCGTCGCTCGTCGCTCGTCGCTCGTGGCTGGTTGCTCGTCCTCGTTCGCGTGGACGCTGCGGTGATGCCGGAACCACACTGCCATGGGGGGAGCGTTACGTTATGTTCCCCGCCTAGAACGTCCGTTATCGCCGCGAATAAAGACAGCTCGGCCTGGGAGGTTGGAACGGCCGTGCTGCAACCCGCGACGGCCTGGGAACTTGGCCCCCTCCCCGTGCGCGTTTCGGGGGAAGGCGGTGCTGGAGCAGCTCGCTCTCGGCCCTAGCACGGAGAGACCCCGAGGCCGCCGCAGGCCTCGCAGGCCAGGGGTACCTCTCCCGCCCTCCCCGCCCTCCCGCCGCACTGGCATCGCAGGGTCATGCGAAGGGGTGGGCGGCAGAGCCCACTCGGACCTGCCCCCCCCGCGACTCGGAGCAGGGCGGATGGGCCCCCCACCTGCGCAGGACGGCGGCACGGCCTTCTCGACCTGCCCCCCCCCCCCCTCTTCTTTTCCGCTCGGAGCAGGGCGGAGGGGCCCCCGACAGCGCAGGGCATGCGGAGGGTGGGCGGCAGAGCCTCCTCGCCCTGGCCCCGCAGCTCGGAGCAGTGCGGATGGGCCTGGGCGGCCGCCCCGCCTTCCTCCCGACGTCCCAAACCTGGTTGGGACGTCGGGAAGGGCGAAGCTCCGACAGTAACAGCCAGGGCCCCGACGACCTGGCCCTGCCAGGTGCCGAAAGCTTCGCTGGGCGGTTGAACCACCTCAGGGTGTGCCAAGGGCGGCAGGGCCCTGGCGGCCCGGCCCTGCAGCTCGGAGCAGGGCGGGTGGGCCCGGGGGGCCGGGCCGCTTCCGCCGGTGCACGAGGGGTCGTCTTTCCTCGAGGGGCGGGCTCCGAGCTGCACTCGAGGCAGCGCCATCGCCCCGCTGACAGGAGGAGGAGGAGGAGGAGGAGGAGGAGGAGGAGGAGGAGATAGGAGGAGGAGATAGGAGGAGGAGATAGGGGGAGGAGGAGGGGGAGGGGGAGGGGGAAGGAGAGGAGGGGGAGGGGGAGGGGCAGAAGGGGGAGGGTCAGGGGGAAGAGGAGGAGGAGAAGGAGGAGGACCAGGACCCAGAGGACAGGGAGGAGTAGAAAGACCCAGAGTCAAGTAAACAATGGAGATGGAGGAGAGGGAGTAAGTGGATGAGAGACGAGCCCCCCGTGCCAATGTCCCTCCTCCGCGCCCCCCCCCCAAGCTCAGCCTCGGTGCGCTGCCGGGCCCGAGGAGGAGGACCCACTACGGACGGTCTCCACCACCGAGCTCGAGGAGCCTACGACGCCCGTGCCTGGCGCGCTCATGCCACGTCTGGGGGCTAGGGATCGACTTTTCAGGTCTGTGTGCGTATATTTATGTTTTTGAACTTCTCGTCGCCGTGGTTTGGTTCCCAAGGATTCTAGTCAAAACGCACCCGAGAAGAGGCCCAAGGGGTGGCACGATCTTTCAGCGCCTGCGTGAAACAAATGTAGTTCAATAGAAACACACGGCGCGCGTGTTTGCTGGGTTTGGGGCCCCAGGGTCTTAGCTGGTCGATCCAGCTCGGGACGTCCCGCACCATGATCTGGTCTGGAGTTCCGGGCGTCGGATGCTTGGGCTGTGATAAGGTTCATATACGATACCGACCAGTGCACCACCATTAGTTCCACAGGTCCAACCTTGTGCCCAAGATGCTGGTCGGTATCGGCTCCCTGCCTGTGCGGAGTGAGGTCATCGCCGTGGTTTTGAGCCCAATTGCCTGCGGAGGCTCGGTGGGGCTGGTCTTCAGCTTTTCCCTCCTTGGCAAAGTTTCGCGATTAGAAAGATCTGCGTCGGTTTGTCTATCAATCCACCCGCACCTTTACACCCACCTCCTGCGGCCCTGCCCAAACAGGGCACGGCTACTTCGGTACCCAGCACCGGCGCCTCTCCGCTCCTCTCCGCGCCCTAGGAAGGTTGTGAAGCAGCAGCTGGAGAGAGAGGACGAGGGCGACAAGGCTTAGGAAGGGGAGGAGGAGGAGGAGGAGGACGAGGAGGACGATGAGAAATAGGAAGAGCGGCAGGAAGGGGGGATGAGCGTGAGTTTTGCTGGCTGTTGGTCGGTCTTGCCAGGGAGCCAGGCATAACCGAGTGTACGGCCCGCTATCGCAGCAGGAAAGGCGAGCATTCCAGTGCATCCTCTTCCTCCACTTCTCGTCCCGCATTTGCTCATCCTCCTGCGCCGATCCTTCTGCTCCGTCGCCTCCTCGTCCCTTTCCTGCTCATCCTGCCTTGAGTGTCGACGGCCTTCCATGTACTGTTTGACGATTGTCGTTCCAGTTCCGACGTGTTTTGTTTCCCAAGCCGCCTTACGGCTACTAGTAGCAGTCAGCACCCAGAAACAGCGCAGACGAATCGGCTTGCATGCTGCGCTTGTGGATCATCGAGCGTCCTTGCCGCAACCCCATCCTGGCAGCTTCCGCTTGCGAGCTGCCTGTATGAAAAAGTGTTCTCGCCTGGAGGGTAAGGAGAGAGAGAGCAGGTGTGAGCGCATACCACGACGAGCTGATCGTCCCCTCAGGAGAGGAGATCATCAACGAGTAACCCCGTGCCCACGCTAAGAAAGCATCCCCCCTTAACCCCTGAGTGTTGACTATCCCGGGCCAAGACAGAGTTGGTCGGGGGAGATGGACGGCGAGGCCGAACATCATCATCGCTGGATAAGGTACGAATCGTGATTGCGACCTGCTAAATGTTGAGTAGTGAATTATGCACCCTACGTCCTACATCTGACTATTAGTACTACTACTATTTCTACTCTTACTACTACTACTACTAGTACTACTACTACTACTACTACTACTACTACTATTACTACTACTACTACTACTCTTACTACTACTACTACTACTACTACTACTACTACTACTACTACTACTACTACTACTACTACCACTACTACTACGACTACGACTACGAGCACTACTACTACTACTACTACTACTACTGCTACGACGACTACTACTACTACTACTACTACTACCACCGCCACTACTATTACTACTACTACTACTACTCCTACTACTACTCCTACTACTACTACTACTACTACTACTACTACTACTACTACTACTACTACTGCTACTGCTACCACTACCACTACCACTACTTCTACTACTACTACTACTACTACTACTACTACTACTATTATTACGACGACTACTACTACTACTACTACGACCTACGACCTACGACCTACGACCTACGACTACTATTCCAACAACAACATCTTGTTTGACGACTACTACTGCTACGACAACTACTACTAATACTAATATTACTGCGCTTATTACTAATTCTCTTTCTTCTACTACTACTACGACTACTACTACTACTACTACTACTACTACTACTACTACTACTGCTACCAATACTACTACTTCTACTACTACTACTACTACTACTACTACTACTACTACTACTACTACTACTACTAGTACTAATACTACTACTACTACTACTACTGCTACTACTACTACTACTACTACTACTATGACTACGACTACGACGACGACGACTACTACTACTACTACTACTACGGCTACGACTACGACTACTACTACTACTAACTACTACTGCGACTGCCACCACCGCTACTACAACTACTACTACTACTACGACTACTACTACTACTACTGCTACTACGACTACTACCACTACTACTACTACTACTACTACTACTACTACTACTACTACTACTACTACTACTACTACTACTACGACTACTACTACTACTACTACGGGCACGGTGACTTTTACTTTTTCTCTCACTGGTACCATCACTACTACGACTAGTACGATTACTGTTGCTATTCTTATGTCTAGTACCCTTACCACCACACGTGCTACAATTCTTACGCTTACCAGTACCACGACGACTATTATTATTATTATTATTATCTCTACTACAGCTTCCACTGCTGCGGCTACGACTACGACTTGAGGCACTACTCCGATGATTTACTACTACTACTGCTACTACTACTACAGCTACTTCTACTACTTCGGCGGCGACAAGGACGGCGACTACCACGACTACGTTTGCTAGTGCAGCTACTTCCGATTATTGCGACCATCATTTTTACCATTATTTGTACGGCCACGTTTTCATGTTTTGCATTCACGGTTGTCACTACTACGATTACTACTACGAGTGCTGCTACTACTACTACTACTACTACTGCTACTACTATTACTACTACTACTACTACGACTACAACTACTACCATGACTACTGCTACGACTAGTAGCATTCCCATCATTACTACTATTACCGCTAGTACTACGACTACCACTACTACCAGTAGTGGCAGTACTACTGTCATTACTACTGCGACTACTACTGCTTGTGCGGCTTTTCTTCCCACGGCGATTACTGCAACTATGACTACGTTTTCTGGTGTGACTACAATTCCCACAAGTACGATTACCCGTACGTCTGAGTCTGATCACTGTGACCAATACATATAGGCATTGCGACGACTACCTCTCACTACTAGTGCTACGGCTTCGCCCACTCTTACTATCACTACTAAAACTTGTTTGTACTACTACTACTACTACTACTATTACCACTACTACTACTACTACAACTAGTACTACTACTACTACTACTATAACTACTATAACTACTATAACTACTACTACTACTACTACTACTACTACTACTACCACTTCGAATGCTACTACGACTACGACTACGATTACGACTTGGACGATTATGTATATTATGTCTACTACTACTTCGGTTACCACGGCTTTAAATGCCACTACTACGACTACTACTGCTTTTACTATTGCTGCGACCACTCCTGCTACCCCTACGATTACAACGGCTACTACTACTTCTTCTTATGCTTATCAGTATTGTTGCGACTACGGCGACGACTATCACAGTTACGAATACCCCCAAGACAAGGAAGACGCATACGGCAACGACGACAATTGCTAACACTATTACTACTAGTAATAACTTTTACTACTTTTACTATTACCATTACTACTTCTACTACTACTACCTCTACTACTACTACTACTACCACTACTACTACTACTACTGCGTCCAGTAGTACTTGTAGTACTGTTTCAACGTTCGCTACTGCCATTACTACTACTACTACTACCTACTGCTGCTACTACTACTACTACTACTACTACGACTACTACTGCTACTACTACTCCTACTACTCTTACTACCACTACTACTACTACTACTACTACTACGACTACTACTACTACTACAACTACTACTGCTATTGTTGCGATTACTAGTACGACTAGTACGACCAATACTTTTACTTTTGCTATTTGTACTACTACTACTACTACTACTACTACTACTCCTACTACTACTACTACTACTACTACTACTACTACTACTACTATTACCAGTGCTACTCAAGTTTTGATTTTTCTTTTTGCTACTAATATATCTTTCATGTGTCTACCATTCGTACTACTATTACTATTACTATTACTACTACGACTACTACTACTACTACTATTACGACTACTACTACTACTACTACTACTACTACTACTAGTACTACGACTACTACTACTACTACTATTTCTACTACGGCTACTACTACTACTACTACTACTACTACTACTACTGCTACTACTACCAATGCTACTGCTACGATTGCTACTATGACTACCAGTATTTCGACGAGTACGATGAGTATTTGCAGTACTGCTACGACGACGACTACGACATTGACTATTACTCCGAGGAAAATTGTGATTACTACGGCAATTGTCACTACACCATTACTACTACTACTACTACTACTACTACTACTACTCTGATTATTAGTTGTACGACTGCTCTTACTACTATTACTACTAGTACTACGACTACTACTACTACTACTACTACTACGTATACGACTACGTCTACTACTGCTACAACAATTATTTCAACGATTACTATGTTTAGTTCTACTACGTTACCGACTACGACTGCGACGACTATGTCTTCTACTACTACTACTACTACTACTACTACTACTACTACTACTACTACTACTACTACTACTACTACTACTACTACTACTACTACTACTACTACTACTACTACTACTACTACTACTACTACTACTACTACTACTACTACTACTACTACTACTACTACTACTACTACTACTACTACTACTACTTCTACTACTACTACTACTACTACTACTACTACTACTACTACTACTACTACTACTACTACTACTACTACTACTACTACTACTACTACTACTACT